TGATTTTAATGCGTTCTTGACAAGCCTAATATTTTTTTACACTACTTTAAAGCCTATGATGTGTTTTTGGGTTATACCGCGTGTTGTCCGCATTGATATCCGATATTTTGCTCCGCGTGCTAGATGATCAGTTTCTGAAGAAAGCTCTTGCATTTTTTTCGAGAAGCATGTGGATCAAAACGTTGGACATCGTGCCAAGCAACACACGGTAAAAACCCAATAACCCCATAGGGAGCGCACCACAGCATGACCTCCGCAGTACTATTACTCCTCACATGAAAACCACTGAGCCTTGGCAAAAGCTAAACGTTTTGAGGTTATAATTCAGGAGAGTGATCGGAGGTAAACCCATTTGCTGGAACCTAGCACAAACCGCGAGCTGATGAACGTTTGCAAATGAAAATACTTCTCGTCGGCGTTGCCAGTAGCTTTCCGAATGCTTTATTTATACGCAATGAAATCACTTGGAAATGTTTTTTCGTGTTTTTATTGTACATATATATTTGTACGCGGGAGTTGTGATTCGCGCGTTTTGTACGTTGTGGGTGAGGCGAGTGCAAACTACCGTATTCTCCGGATTGTGAGAATTTCCCAGAGAGTGAGAGACTCGTCAAACGTGTGTCCGCTGTCCATAAAGGTAGACAGATCTGGTCGCACGCACACACACACACACGCCTACACACGGCCAGGTTGTAAGATGCACCACCAATGTTTACTTTAAAATAGAAAATATGGGGAGTGTACCGTGTAATCCAGAGAATACGGTACTTGCATAACTATCAGGTCTAAGCAAACGGGTCAAGAGATGACCTATTAACCTTTTGACCTAATTATGGCTGCTGATGTGTCATTTTTAGAATCGCCCACGCTGAATTTGTTGGGTACCACCTACATTTTTTTTAAGTTTGTAAAAAAAAAATTACAAATAGCATTGAATTGATGCAAAACGATCACGCAATAAAAAAAAAGTTTTCATGTCTGATTTATGTTTTCTTTCATCTACCCCACCACACTTTGATTCTATGTGAAGCCGGGTATTCCCCACAAACATGCAACGTTGGGCCAATGTTGGAATGTGATTGGAATCTTTGGGTCAACGTTGGGTCAACGTTGGGTCCACGTTGCAACTATGTTGCGGCTTTGGTAGACTGTTGAGTGGTATTGTGCCGGATACAATCTTGAGATATAATTTTTGTTCAATTGAAGGACATGGGTTTTTTTCTCTCTCCAGGTTTGTGGCATAACGTGGAGTGAATGTCACTGAAATTCACTTCACTTGAACTCTTTTTCCATACTCGGCCCGGTAAACATGGAATGTTGGGTCAAAAGTTCTAACCACATGCCAACGTTGGGCAAAAGATCTGACCACATGCCAACGTTAGGTCAACATGAGATGTGGCATCACCCATATGGGTTTGACCCTGGACAGTCCTGGAATTGACATTACTGTGTTTGGGTGGTGAGAATTGATCTGTACCGAACTTTTATCACTGTAAACTGCAATGTTTTGATAGACAGGATGACTGAGAAATAAATCCTGGTTTGGTCTACAGTGGGAAAAGTGGCAGCCCCTAAGGTCGAAACCGGGTCTAGATGAGGTTGCTTACTTCAATGCTGTTTGGTACAATAAAAATGGTCTGAAAAGGAAATAGACCGATGGACCAGACCATGTTTTAGTCGGAATGTGAAGGCATAACTGAGTTACGCTCATACACATTTACCTCAGAATCTAGCTTATACATAAATAAAGACCTTAATCTGTCTCAAAAACCTCTTGGGACTTCCCAACAAGGTATAAAGCTGACATTTGGTACATATTTAGCTTTTAGGACAGCAAAACAGAAACATCTTTAAATCCAAGATTGATTATTTAAAGGCCCCAAAATCTTGATTTGAAGTGCCCCATCAACATGTTTGTGCGTGATGTAATTCAGAAACCGCTTGAAATATAAGATAGCGTTTTTTTTCTTTTGATAGAGTGTTAAACAAATAAAATTCAATTGACAACCATTGTTCCTTTATTGTTTTTGAGATATTTCGGATTAAATCGGTTTTGAACGAAATAATACGCATTTTATGATGTTCAAATCTGGGTAATTCGAAAACCGTAAAAGATAGGAGCTTTCCCTCAGAGTATTAAGTTCCTGAATTTTTGTTCTTCCAATAGAAAATAGAATGGAATTTTTACATTGAGCGGTTTCCGATGGATTACGTCTTTAAATAGAAATTTAATCAAGTCAACAATTTTCGTTTTTTTGCGGTATTTTTAAAAGTAGCGCCTGATTGGAAAAAAAATTATCAGCTAAATTATATTTATTGAAAACTTTTGCATGGCGAAGACTGCCTTTATGAACCATCTTTCGGTAAAGTCACGTAGGTAGAAAAATAATAGATCACGACTTAAGTAGTATGGATTCATGCAGTCACAAAAGCTTTGAATCAAGATCAGCAACACACTCCTGCGGAGGGAGCTGGTAGGAACGTTGGGTTGCTCGGTCAATGGCCTGCAGGGTCAACGGCGGCGTGGTGTATTCCGCAAATATGGCCGACTGTGAGTGCGGGCACAAGCCGGCGTGAGTAGGTTAAACGTTGAGTTTTATAAGGGCACCACGGGGTGACCAGCCCCTCCCCACCCAGCCCCACCCCTCCCACCCCCCACCCAGCCCCTCCCCACCCAGCCCCTCTCCACCCAGCCCCACCCCTCCCACCCCCCACCTAGCCCCACCCTCCCCACCCAGTCCCTCTCCACCCTCCCCACCCAGCCCCTCCCCACCCAGCCCCACCCTCCCCACCCAGCCCCTCTCCACCCTCCCCACCTAGCCCCTCCCCATCCAGCCCCACCCCTCCCACCGCCCCACCCAGCCCCTCCCCACCCAGCCCCACCCTCCCCACCCAGCCCCTCCCTCCCCACCCAGCCCCTCCCTGCACGACGGACACAATAATCCCCTGTGGGCTCGTGTAACCAGGAGGCTCCTACCAGTACAATAGGATTGTGCGTGTGTCTGTCTGCAACTTACCTGGATGACGTCATGCCAGATTGGGGTGCGGTGAGAAGGGGGGTTGATGACATCATAAAGGCTGGGTTGAGAGCGCAGTACAACGTCACGCCAGCTGGAGGTGAGGTTGCGAGAAGACAATTCGATGACGTCAGACGCTGGGTTGTTGAGAGGAGTAATGACGTCACACCAGATTTGGGGTGAGGTTGCGAGAAGACAATTCGATGACGTCAGAAGCTGGGTTGTTGAGAGGAGTAATGACGTCACACCAGATTTGGGGTGAGGTTGCGAGAAGACAATTCGATGACGTCAGAAGCTGGGTTGTTGAGAGGAGTAATGACGTCATACCAGATTTGGGGTGAGGTTGCGAGAAGACAATTCGATGACGTCAGAAGCTGGGTTGTTGAGAGGAGTAATGACGTCACACCAGATTTGGGGTGAGGTTGCGAGAAGACAATTCGATGACGTCAGAAGCTGGGTTGTTGAGAGGAGTAATGACGTCACACCAGATTTGGGGTGAGGTTGCGAGAAAACAATTCGATGACGTCAGAAGCTGGGTTGTTGAGAGGAATAATGACGTCACACCAGATTTGGGGTGAGGTTGCGAGAAGACAATTCGATGACGTCAGAAGCTGGGTTGTTGAGAGGAGTAATGACGTCACACCAGATTTGGAGTGAGGTTGCGAGAAAACAATTCGATGACGTCAGAAGCTGGGTTGTTGAGAGGAGTAATGACGTCACACCAGATTTGGGGTGAGGTTGTGACAAGGGAGGTTAATGACGTCACGCGACGCGAGGTTGCGATGGGCGTGATGACGTCATGATACAGAATCTTTATATTGGAGGAAATCGATGAGCTTTCAAGCGCTTTTTTACAGACGTCCAGTAGTTCAAGTTCAAGTTCATTTATTAGGTATAGCCCTGTGAGCCATTCAGCTCTTGAATCGGGTGCAACCGCAACAAACAAAAAACAAAAACATGAACAAAAAAACATCTTAAAGTGAATATGTGACTAAGTGCAAACAGAAAATCCAAGAAAAGACAGCAAAAAATATTGCAGAAAAAACACCGTACACCAACGCTGTGTGCAAAAATCCCAGTGGGATGCAAGTCAAACAACAACAACAACCACAAGACAACTTAGATTAAGGCCATCAGTCTAACTCTGTACTACAACAACACAAACATGGCTAAACCAATACACTTTTCGAAATCACCAAAATAAAGCCATGAAGGCAATGAAAAAGCAATCATAGGAACTGACGGAATTTTCACAATAAATGGCATAAACAACATGTACTACCAAAACCCTGCAGCCATAGCTGGCTGCATGAGTCACTCCACAACAGCAGGAGCATCAATCGGAGTATTGTAATTTTTCAATGCACCTTTAAGATCAGCACACTAAATCAAAACACAGGTCATACTTTGTAGCGATCATCCGGAGCGAAACATTTTATTTTAGGTCACTGAATAGCACTGGCAGCTAGGGGTGTACAACTCCTCTAGAGCAGTTTTGAGTGAAGATCTCATAGGTAGTGACTCAAGTTTCAATTTATTTGCAACAGCATTCCAGACCCTGGGGGCATCAATAGCAAAGGCCCTTCCTCCAGTATATGTACGGCAATAGGGACTATTAAGCTGGTAAATGAGTGTAGACCTTAGGTCAAATTTGTTCTTTGAAACAGAGACGAGATCCAGCAGTAGGGGCAGGTCAGAACGTTACAACAAGAAACAATAAAAAAAACGACGTGAGTGGAAAAATATAGTAACGGTTATGAAGTGGAATAATCGGTTCGTGAAAGCATCAGTCTCTGTACAGAATCGCCATCCTTTTACCGCGGAAACTCTGCCAGTGTGTAAGAATCGCACCTTACAATGACGAGACGACGTTTTAAATTTCCCGCCAAATTTACTTTGACGCCTGACGTCACCCTGGTCGGGATGCGGGGGGGGGAGGGGTGACGTCGTGACGTGGTGACGTCACGAGGGGTGACGTCGTGACGTGGTGACGTCACGAGGGGTAGTCGCTGAGCCGTTGTTAAATCGACGGCGACGTCGCCAGCAAAACAGCGTCCAAACCAACTCCGCGCAAACACCTCCACCACTATAACAACCACCACCACCAACACCACAGCCGCCACCGCTACAACCACGACGACCACAGCCAGCACCAGGAGCTGAGAGAAGGCGATGTTCGGTCTCAGAGATCTGGACGACGATCCCTTCATGGCGTGAGCGAGCCCCGGTGTTAAATCGTCTCCCCACCCCCTACCCCCCACTCGCGTTTAAGTCGTCGTGTTTTTGTCAAGATAACCATTAATGTGTAATCATCCGTCACCCCCCTCTGCTCTCGTCGCGATGGCGAGGTGGATGTTGACGTGTACGGCTCGTCTCGGTAAAGGGATATAGATACCAGGCCGAAGTTGGGCCTCACCGACGCTTACCGCTCTTGCCTGAATTCGCTGCCCGGCTTGAGCGCTGTTGCTCGGCAGATGGAGAAGGCTGAGAGGGGGTGGAGGGGGTCTCCCCCCCCCCCACCAGGCCGATACGACTCGGTGTCTTAACGATGCGCGCGGTCTTTGTGTCTCTGTGTTTGTCTCCGTGTGTGTCGCTCTCCTATGCGTTTGTGTGTCTTTGTATTGGCCTTTCGATGATACGCGATGTGTATCCGTGTGTGACTTTGCGGGCGTGTTTGTGTTGTGTCGGTTCCTCTCGTGATTCGCGCTTTCTATCTTCCTCTCCCGTGTCTGTCTTGTGCGTTTGTTTTCTCTGTGGCGTTGCATACGCTCATTGTAGCAATTCGCCCTCTCTATCTCTGTGTCGGTGTGTGGCCTCTTGAGGCCGTGTGCGTGTCTCACCTCTGATGCGTCTGCGATACCTCGGTGTCTCTCGAATGGCGCGGGTTCGGGTGTTCGTGTCTTTGTCTTTGCGTGTGCAATGTGTTGTCTCTGGCTCAAGTGACCCGCTCCCCGTGTGTGTGTGTGTGTACTGTGTTGGTGTCTGTGAATGTGTTGCATCGTTGTCTCTCGTGAGCCTCCCTCTCGCTCTGTGTATTTGTGCGAGCCTGTGTCCGTGAGTTGTATCGCTGTGTGTGTCTTTCTCCATAGTGTGTGTGTGGGGAGCGGTAGTGCAGTGGTCAGCGCTACGCTGCATTACGAACCCGGCCACCCGAGTTCGATTCCCCCTCACGGCCAAAACCAGTGACGATTATCTGAACCGGTCCTGGGCCTCCCCTAGGTCGACTCAGCCTCAAATGAGTACCTGGTACTGGCCACTCACCTCCCCCCCACCCCTCGTGTACCGTGCTTGCTAACAGCACTTGTCCCATCAGTCTATTAAGGCTACGGCGGATCTTTGTCGTTTTTGTTAGTCATACTTTAGTGTATATAGTGACTATTATTATATTTTAATCTCTCTGTTTTAATTCCGTCGGGGTATGGATTTATGTTATCTCTACCTGTCTCGCTGCGTATTATTCCAACTTCTCTATTGTCTCTGTCTCATTGTATGGACGTATCTTGTAGCATTATGTTTATTTAAGTTTGTATGCGTCTCACCTCTCAATGTGACTTGTACGTCTCACTTCCGCCTGAGCTATACTATATACCGTATTGTTTTATCGAAGTCTTCATCTCTGTCTTATGCATCTCGCAGTCTGCGTACCTTGGCAGCCTCCCAGTTTTCTCTTATCTAACTCCTCCTGGTCTTTATATGTTTTATCTTTCACCGTCTGTCTCCATTCAGTCTCTTATTCACCTGTTCTTCTTTGCATGTCCACTCTGTCTATGTATATTAGCTCTTGTGTGTTGTGCCAGTGTTATGTACGTCTTTGTTTCATGCGTGTCTGTGTATCTTTGTTATGTATCCATATTATTTTTCTCACCGAGTCTTATTACGTTTTCTATTGTCTCACGTGAGTCTATTTTTGCGTCTAATTTCCCTCAAGATTCCAGTGTTTGTTGTGTTTCTGTCGCCGCCTCTTAGTATCTCTTCTCTTCTTCTGGGCGTCTCGTATCGCGTGACCTTAATCCTGCTGTCGTTCGCTTTAACTTTGCCGTCTCCACGTCCCTCCCCTCCCAACTCTTCCATCGAATCCCAACTCCCTTCCAAGCTCAAACTCTCGTCATCTACCATCCCACCAGATCTAAACCCAATCTCCATGTCTCACTTTACTGATCCGACCTTGGCGTCATCGTCTCCTCTATGCGACTGCTCATTACCGATAATTTCAACATCTATGTTGATGATTTTATTTGATTCCAGTAACCTTCCGGTCAGTTTTATAATGCACGGATCTCGCCCAACTGATCTCATACACCACTCCTAAACTGTGACATTATACTAGGAAATAGTGCAAAAACTTGGAGTTGCTGTAGATATTAACTCTGCAGGACATCTGTACAACATTTTCCGCATCCACCTGCTATTATAACCCACATCCATGACTTTATCAAGGCCTCCCAAAATATGTCATTTGCAAACTCGGGTTAATTCAAAATAATGCTGCCAAACATCTCGCCCACAAACGAGACCATTTTACCCCGAAACTACCATCCACCATCTTTGTGATCCTCCACGAACTTGCACCTGCCAATCACTGAACCTTCTCATCCCACTCTACTCCCTCTCCACACACTCCGCTCCAGCAACCAAGGCCTTCTGTCGGCCACGAGTCAACATTTGTTCCATGGGACATAGCTCATTCTCTCTCGGTTGCCCATGTTGCCTTGCACATCCTCCAGACATCCGTGCTGTCGTCTACCCATGGCTGTTTCAAGTCCAAGCTCAAAACATTCTCCTTCTGCCCCTCATGACAAAATTATCACGCGCACCTGTTTCTGTGGAGTATCTGCAGATGCAATCGCATTCAGACACATTATGTTCATCCGATTTCTGTTGTATTGATTGATTGTAAAGTACATTTTATTTAACAGGTTTTGAAATTCAGGGCATTCTATTAAAACAGCTGAGGTGTGTCGAAGTTTGTATTGTAAAGTGCTCTGGAGTGCTCTGCATTATGAGCGCTATATAAAGACAATACTATATAAAAACAATGCGTTGCATTGTACGGGTTGTGGGGCTGCTTTTTTAATGTCAGCTATCATTGGAGGGCAGGTAATGGATACATGTTTAATAATGTCTAATTGGTCTTGCCCATCTGCTGTTGAGAGCTCTGCAACCAGTTTTATAATTGTGTTTTCCAGACCCAGGTATAAAAAAAGGAATTCATGTAGAGGGCATATTTGAACAGGTGTGAGAGCCTATTGGTATTGTTTACCTGGAGGGGGTCGTTAAGAGTGGTAGTTAAGGTTAGGATCAGGGTTGGTATTCAGTGAAGTGACTCAACATCAAAAAAGTAAATAAGCTGATGATAAGCCTCCTTCGCTTATCTGTCCATCCACATAAAAAAACGAGTTTTGATGCATCCCATCAGCCACACTGCTGTACTGGCATCGTCTATGCCCTCTGGGTCAGAAGAGGGAACGACGCAATGTGCTGTTTCTTGCATCGTATTCCGTGGTTATGTAAATAATTTACGTATGAATTTACAAATACAAAAGTTATTCCGTATGGCATTATTTATTAATAGGGCAAATGCGGTGTTAAAAGGCACTTATTAAGCCTGGCACAGCACACAAAAGTGGTTGGTGATGCGAGCATCATGCCTGGTCCCCTTTGACTCCCTCGTCCTGATGTTTACTCACTGCACCAGGTTGAGTCTGAGTCCACATAGGAGAGGACCAGATTAATTTTTGAGACCGCTTGCCATAAATGTGCGTGGTGACTGGGATTCGAACCCATGTTTTTGGGTTTGGAGTTCAGTTTGTAAATCAGTGCACCTCTGCTCCCCACAATGCATTAACACACTCAACCAGACTCGTGCGAGAGTCATAAACTACTAGATGCAAAAAATCCGCACACTCCCAATCCAGTTTTTTGTTAGTGTAGTCGCCCTTTAATATAAAATGTATGTTTTGTTTTGTATGGTAAACAAAGTTACGTGTATCAGCGCATATTTTGGTTGTTAAAAATACTGTATTAGCAGCATCTCTTTGGTCAACTATTATGTGTGTGTGGGAGTCTGGGAATTTGTGTGAATATGCCTATGTGCTGTTCCGTGAGTGAGTTTTTATGTGTGTGTTTATGCATTTGTGTGTTTGTTTTTGTGCGCGTGTACTGCACATACACAAAAGTCTGGTAATCGTGCTGCTGCGGCTGTAGTGGGTTGAGTTTTTGGCTTTATAAGGCATTCGCCCACATTGCATGTGTAAGCTTTCATGGTGGATATGGACTTGTGATTAGGAAACAAAGAACATGTTAATTTAACTCGATACATTTGTGTTTTTTTTACCCCCAACGTCTGCATCATTTGAATATATTATTCCAAGACTTTTAAACCATATCTTGGTGCATTGAATCCAGCCTTAAAGGATAACTGTTTTGAGTTTGATTTTAGAACACTGTAACATCCCAGAGAGCTCAAACTTGGCCTCTGATTACCAAGTTGGGGTGTGATGGTGCACGTCTCTGATCTAGCATTTTTGAGGCAAAGGGTTGGTGGATTGCTCAGGTTTCGTGAAATTCCCAAACTGGAAGATGACCAGAAAGATACCAGTTACATTTTTATCTTTTTTGTGTGAACCCATCTGTTATGCCCTCGTATGCACAGTCAGCTTCTCTGGCCACTAGATTTCCTTCCACAAGAAAAAAAACTCTGATAAAAAAAACGTTAGCAAAAAAGTCCCAATGCAACACCCTGATCATAAAGAAATGTTCTGAGGAACAATACATGAACAAAAAAACTACTGAAATTATAGTGTCAATAAATAATGTACAGCCCTTTGTCAATCCACTGCTTAGATGAAGACCTTGTCCACGCTGTGCTGGTAATGAGTGATGTTTGGCCATACTTCACCACTCTGGTCAGGGAAGGTTGTGCAAGGGTGGGGCATCCAGAGCGGGTTCAGATCATTATCGCCACCGATGTTTGTCATGACCGGGAATGGACCTGAATGCTGCTAACCACTGCACCACTGGTCCCGCCCCCAGATTAATGGAAGGAAGCTATTAACTACGTAAAATCTAAATGACATTTGATTGAAGTTGGGTAAAATGGCTGAATGGAATGAGCATGGAATCACCAAAAAGTGCCTTAAGGTAAATTTTTAAAAATAACCCTCAGCTCACATGGTGTTAAGAGACCATCATTCAGCATATATGGCTCTATTTCTATTATACGCAGAATTTAGAGAAACCTATGGCTATAAAAAAAATATTGGCCAAGTGGCTCGGGGTAGAGCGAGCAGCTCACAATTGGAAGGTTGTAAGTTAAAATCCTGGTTTGGGCAGTTGACTTGGCCCCACCATCCCTCCGGGGTCCATAAAATATAGACAACTTTGTGGGAAGTCAACAGTGATTGTTGTATGCATAGATTCTTCCAGCTGAAGGCATGTAGTATTTTCACGACAAGCTCAGGACTGTAAACAATGCCTTAATGCTCAATCGAGCATGAAATGTCTGACTGGTAAAGACAACATGGAATAAGGATGTGTACATGACCTCAAAGTGTAGCTCAGTATAACAGCGATGGCAACACTTTAATCTGTGCACCCGTTCCTCCCCCGTGCGCGGTCTCTTTTGCTCTCTCTTCCCATCTCCCGGACCCATCTCCCCCCACCCCCACAAATTCCTGGACCCCGCCGGTCCCCGAAAACACGACTGGTGGCGCCGTCTCTCTCCCAAGCAGCGACCCTTTCCGGGCACATCACGAGCGCGTGCGGCGCGCAATGCAGGGCTTCCCAGCGCCGATGCCCCTCGCTCTGCCCGACGCCCGTGCCCCCATGGGCCTCTTTGCTCCGTTCCCGAGATTGGTGAGGCTGACGTCGGCGCGTCTCGTTTCGAACTCCGCACTGTAAATGTTGCTGCCCCGCAATTGATTTGTTGTGCCACTGCTGGTGGAGGGGCCTCCACTAAAGGGAGCTCTGGAGAGCCACCCCACAGGGGCTTATTGGCCTGCTCTTCCACACTGTTTAGACATCTTAGAAGAGATGGGAGTATGTACACGTTATCCCACCATTCGCAACTTGCTGATTATTAACTGTGGTGTACCCATTTATATTCCTGGGTCGACAGCGGTGGGCGATTTTAAGAAACTTGCCCAATGAACCTGTGACCTGGATTGTAAGTCCAGTGTGCTAACCACTATGAGAGGGCAACATCTCCCCTCACTGGTTGGATTCATCGTCACGATTAGGAATTGTTTGATTCAAGAATTTGTTGTTTATTTTTGTTAGTACTCTGCAGGGATTCCTTTCTCACCCCGGCAAAGCTGCACTCTGTGAGTGGCTACAAAGAGCTCTCCAGTCCTTCAGATTATGAAGGGAGGTACTGAATTAATAAATTAACATTTACAATCACAGTTTATGCTGGAGATGTTGCTACTTACGGGTGTTGAATTGTTTGGGCTATGAGCCTCGTGGCTACATTTGAAAAAATATATTTTGCGCCTGGGTCGATTTGCTGAAGCCCATGGCCACCTGTGTCACTGGTTTTTATTTCTACGCAGCTGTGTTTTGTTTCACACTCTAAAGCGTTACACGCGTCATTTAAGGCTGAGTGTTAAAACGGGCACTCGTCGCCGAGAGTGAGGAGTCTGGGCAGTGCGCCTTTCCTCCCCCAAGTGTCTCCTTAGCTTTTAAATCGAACGTTTTACAAGTCGCGTTGCCGAACACCCATCTGTGCCGTGTTAACGGCAAGCCCCCCGCGCTGTCTGAGTGTTCTATGAGTGCCGTAGTTTGGACCTTGTTGAGTTGATTTGGCCACACGTGCACTGTATCACTAACGGCGGTCTTAGTTGTTGCAAAAATACATTTATGGTATTTGTAATTTTAGCTGTGTTATTTGTTGCACTTTTTTTATGCTTGGCTATGCCATTAAGCAAATTCTCTGTTGGAATTATTGTAGGATTAACGGTAATGATGTAGGCCCTGTAATTGCTTGCTTATTCCACTTTTGGTGGAGGGGCGTTCACTTGAGGGAGCGCTGGACTCCTTGAGTGTATTTATGGCCTCCTCTATCACGCCGTTCAGACGTCTTGGAAGAGGTTTGAGTACCCACACTCTACCCCACTATATATACGTCCTGCCTGTCAAGGAACTGTGGTGAACCCATTCGTACTGTGAGTGGATAGAGGCAGGGGGATTTGAGAAACTTGCTACACTGTTTCAACTGCCGTTTGAAAAAAAGCTTCATAGCTCATCGGATTCCTCCAGTCTAAATAAAGATTTTTATTCTGATGTCAGATTGAATTGATGACCTCTGAATTGCAGGTCCATTGTGCTAACCATTATATCATGGCAACATCTGTGGGATTCAATGAGATGAACTATATAATATTAATACAGTAATTCATTCAGGAAAGCCACCATTGTGATCAAGACTGCGTTTCAGGAGGGTATTGCATTGGGATGTTTGGCCATCTCCTTACTGATGAGTGCTTTGCGTAGAGCAGGAGATTAGAGTACCGTATTAAACCCACGCATAAAGAGGGATAACCCTTTGTTAATGTATTACGCTAAAGAACCATTTTCATGAAGATGGTTCTGAACAACGAGATTAAAGTACTTTTTCTGGAAGATGTTTACCATGTTCTCTGGATTATAAGACACTGTAAAATGTTACACACTGCAGGCTTGTGCCCTGTGTCGATAAAGTTATACAAATCTGGACTCGCACACAAAAACTTTTTCTTTAGAATACAGATGGGAAAAAGTGCATCTTATAATCCGCAGAATAGGGTAAGTGTAAATGGACGAGTGGGACTGAACAGCCACAACAGCCCTCTTCGTGCTGTGCTTCAATGTGGGCTGTTAGTGAGCAGGGCCAAGAGTTTGAGCTGTTGGCTTCTGAACTCTTGGGGCCTCGGTTACACAGCTGTGGCAAGGGAGCAGAAACATTTCTAAGGTTGCTGAATAAGGCGCTGAGTAAAAACATAAATAATTCAGCATTCTGTGTGGGGCAGTGATGGAGGCGTGCGTTGTCTTGTGGGTGGCGCGATATGCTGTGTGTGCGATTTGTGCTTGTTTACGCTCGAGTTGGAAACGTCAATAATCCCACGCGAGCCTTCGTGCCTCGCTTGTGACCTCATCGCGGGTCGATATAAAACCCAAGACCGTGACAGTGGCAGGAAATGCCGGTGACAGGTCGCCAAGAGAAAACGGTTTTGAAACGTATTGTTCTGGTGTTGAGATCTTTGGTGTGAAGAGGCTGATGCGTCACGATTGATCCCTGGCGCCACGGAATTTGATGAATCGTTACAATTCTGGGTCACAGTTTGGTCTTGAGAATTAATGCGCGTGCTCATTATGCGTTGCTGTGAAGCATTATAGGTGAAAATAAATCATACGCAGGATTCCGTTCCGTGAAAAAAATACCGAGACCATCAGCCTAGAAACCATGAAGCAGCATTTGTTTGAGCAGAAATTGGTTGTATTGCAATGTGTTTGTGCCGTCTCGAATGCCTTGTTTCGTTCTCTCGCTTATTTCATTAGCTTAAACGCAACATGTGCTGCTGTATTTTAAACATGTCATAAATAATATCTGATGTGCATATTTCAATACGTATTGCGTAAGGCTAACAATATTTTTTTATTGATAAATCATGATACTCCTTTAAGGAACTCTGTAATTTCCTTTGTCTTTTTGGTCCAGACATTAACTTAAGTGGTTTGTTTGTCATTTTGTGTTGGGATTTTAATTACACGATTTGTGTGTCCCAGTGACTAAACGCTATTGGCTGTTCCCTGCCTAACCGTCTTTGTATCTCACTGGGTCGTGACCGAGCAGCATCTGCCACATTTTTGTTAACTTGTCGCCCTTTATCATTAAACCTCATGAGCCTTGCCAGTGTTAAAGGAATACATCACCCCAAAATAACAAGTAGCTCTTCGCTTTTAGTTACATATTTGGTTGTGTGCTCCAGGATATATGGTGTGAAGCGTCAGATTTTTTTAACAAATTAAAAATACGTCAAAAATCTTGATCATCTGCGCCATTGTAATGCTCTAGCTATATTGTTGCGTTGACGTTAAATTGCAATTACTGGGAGTGAGGTCGAAAGCAACGGGTTAAACCGTGAAAGCCTCCCCACACAAAGTTAGTCCCGGAGGTTGTTTGACCACTCTTCACCTTGCTGGTCAGAAATCTACGTTGAACTTCTTTCGCACCATACTTAGCCAACTATGCTCATCGGAGGTGCGGGTCAGGGGAGAGCCCAGGACAGGTCCAGATATCACTCGTTGCAGATGTTAGCCGTGGTCAGGAATTGAACTCGGTTCATGGTGAAGTGAAAACTCACCACTGCGTCTCCGCAGAGCTTCAAACTTGTGTGGGCAACGGACGTGGACACACGGGATATGTGTGGCCAAATAGTCACGGTTGTTTTCTATTTGTCGAGTATTCCTTCAAACCAAGCTGGCAGTTGTTTTTGTTTTCAGGAGCATCTGCATTCATCACTGCCCCATTATATGCGTTTGATATGTGATGTGGGCTAATTGTGGTGTTGGCGCTTCCTTAACTTGGGTCTCTTCTGCTTCGCAGGGTTTCGGAATGCAGCTCTCTCCGTTCGGCGCCTTCGGAAACCCGATGGTGAGAGCTTCATGTTTTAATTTTTAAGAGCTTATTATCTGTTCGTTTTTTTGCCCATTTTGTATTGCATTTCGTCAAGAAACCTCACGCCATCAAGTATACAAACCGATCTGAGCGAAAACATTTTCTTGGACGGTTATGCTTGCTTTGTATCCTTGCTGCATAGTAACTGAAGCATGTTATTTTGTATTTCTTTAACATTTTATCCTAGATGTGGTCGAGTGGTAATACCGTGTTGGAGCACTGAACTTGAGTTTCAAATTGGCCATCTGGGATTAAATTGGCTTCTTAAAATGTATTGAGTTGTTTGCCTCAGCCTTGTGGCCATGAATTACCGTGATTACCATAACTGCATACATTACCATGATATAAAACTAGTTTTTTGCTTCATTTGGCATATTTCAAGACTGAGGATATATTTTTTAGTTTTGACTGTTATGTAACAAACACATCTACAGTCGTGCCTGTGCACCACCTCTTGTCTTTAAGGGGCAATTCAAGAGACTCAGAAGTAGTTCTGTGACATCTCCTTCCAGAGGCGAATCTCTAGTGCGAGAGTTCCTAATGTAAATATCATCGCCTCGTGACATGGTGCTAATAAACGCAATTGGAATGTTAAGCGCGGAAAAAAAAAAAATACCAACTAAAAATATTCGAGGGTAAAAAAATCTCCCACGTAATCCTAAAAATAATAAATCCTGTTGCGGAGGATCAACCGTGCTCGCGAGACACGTGACGTGGGAGCGCCGAGGTGCCGTGAAGGAAGAATTAGTCACTCCAAAAATAGCTCCCGCGAATGCTGATCGCATGTTGTCTAGCCCAACGTATGACTTAACATCAACGTTGGTCCCCTGAGCCGCCCCTTACACTTGTACTCCATGAGGGTTTTAAATTTATTAGAAATCGTGGAAATGCAGGCAACTCTTGGGTTATCCGCAGTGGAATAGGGAATGATGGCCCGGATATGAGAACAATGCAAATACGGATAATGCAAACCAAATACGTGGGGCAAAATTCTGTATTTATTACTTAACTACATAAGTTTAGGGGTGAAGATTTATAATGTGTTTTTTATTGCCTCTTGAAGTAATCCTTTTACTTGCCGACGTGTTTGAAGTCACGAGGCAGCTAATAATTTAACCGGCGCGTGTGTAAATGACAAAAAAAAATTCCGCACGCACGCTTATATCGTAAACTCGAATGTTCCTCCGGTAAATAATCCAGAATTGGCTCTGGCTTCAAAAAGGTAACTGCTAACCAACATAACAAATACTCTTGTCCTGTAGATTGGTACATTAAGATGCTTGTCCTGCGCTGTCTAACATCGGTTTGAGCTGCTTTTGTGAGAGAAAATGTAATTTTGAATGGCCATCATTGTGTGCTCCAGTGATGCTGTAAAGTGCAGTGCTTGCTGGTAGCCAGCACTACAATTGTGGCACTTAGCACAATGCATGTTGTGCTTGGTTCCTTCGGTTGTGTAACATGGACTCGGAGGAAAAATCTATTTTTTCCATTGTCAGCAGACAAAATATACTGGCGCTGCTGTGCATTTGCGCTGCTATTGATGAATACATTGCAACAATTTAACTTGTTTATTTGGGAGCTTCTTCATCCTTGAAGTGAAAACAAGACTCGGCCGTCACGTGTGGGTGTCGCTCGCTGAGTTTTTTTGCCATGCTCCGTGCCGTCGCTCCTCCCTGTCTCTTCCTTCCGGTCGCCTGTGTGCAGTCGGGTGTCATGATGAATCCGTTCCAGATGATGGACAGCATGATCAGCAACATGCACAGCATGATGTCGTCTGATATGCACGGAAATTATGTGAGTACCGGGTGAACACGCACTGCCGACTCCAGAGTCGCTTGGGCATCAGCAATTGTTTTCAGCTTGTTCAATTGAAATGTTTTTTTAATGCGTTTAAACTAAGGTTGAAAGCATTAAAGCGTTATGCATTAATTAACTCTGTAGATTGGATAACTTTCTAGAAACCCAAAAAATTGAAAGGGTTGCTAAAAACTTCGCGGTAAAATACCAGCGTTAGATATGTCAGCCTTTTCGGCCAGTGCATTGACATCACACGCCATTGTGCGTGCCTCGCTTCCCCATGATGTACTGCATTTTCACGAGGTACATGCCTCATGCGCCGGTATACGCATCATCTCGTTGTGCGGCTCGAAAGGTAACGTTATCAGTGCCAAATTAAATATTACAGAGTCCATGCGTATGCATGATTTAAAATATTATTGTTCAAACAATTGGAGGTCAACCGTAGATTTAGTTGAATAGTTTGCATTCTTACCTCCTGGTTTCTGGCACAGGGATTCTCGATGCAGATTCAAGCAAAATGTTGTGTTTAAGTGCTTTATTTAGTTACGAGAATTGTTATATTTACCGGTGAGCCGGGAAAACAATATTTGGCGAATAAAATACTTGTACGCACGACATTTTGTTTTGTTGGTCTTGTCAGGTGGTGAAGGGTTACACGATAACAATTTGGCCAGATCATTACGTGGCCATTCCGAAAAATATATTATGAATCTGTTTTGTAATTGTTTTAATATAGTTTTTTTTTTATGTCGGAGCGACGGCAAGCCCAGGGTGATTTTCAAGCACCGCAGAGTTGATGCAGGCACAGTGCACGTTGTGTCCCCAGGAGACAATCAGCCCCAACCCGAACGGGCACTCCTTCTCGTCCACCACCGTCATGTCCTACAGCAACATGGGTGACGGGCCTCCCCGTGTCTACCAGGCGAGCAGCCAGACCCACCAAGTGCCCGGGGGGGTGAGTGTTGCACCGAATCGCACCGCCATGAGTCGCACCGCAGCATGTGTCCCGCACGGCGGTAACGGCACGCTCCACGCTCCACATCCTGCACGTCAAGGCGCGCGCTGTCCACAGCCGTGGCAAATCCCGCGGCGGGATTCGCGCATCAACAAATATCCTTCACCTGGATAATGTACGCAACACAGACTAGGGATGCCTGCTTAAACTAAATAAATAGGAACACACAGCAGAGATAATACACAACACACCACAAATACGGAAATACGGAACACACCACTGGGAAATTCCCTGCAGTGGAGGTACATGCCACAGTGAAGGTAAACACAACAGTGAATCCACACATCACGGATTATACACAACCACGAAACACACCGTGACGTATACACGCCATTAGAACGCCACCAGATATACCATAGACACGGCATACATGAAAAAAAGTCTTGAGTTTTGAGGCTTTCATGGAGGAGAAAAAGGGTATGAATTTTATGTAAGATCACACATCACAGTAAATACGCACAACATGGATAATACACGCGGAACACATCATCACAATAAGAGCCTTGAGACTCGGTGAGGCTTTGTGGATGAATGAAGGGATTAGTATTATAAATACACTTACACCACAACAAATTGACAGCGTGGATAATGCACACTCGTGCACACGGTGGTCATGGAATAGACTTGTAAATATATGCATCACGACATTACTCACAGTATGCATAATATACACACCAGAGTCAAAACGCAGTGCACGAAATATCCACGCTGTGGAGAATACACCACTACACACAGCATATGCATACACTATTCAAATACACAGCAGAAAAAACACGTAATCAATTACACATACTACAACAATTAAAACACAATGTAGCAAACAAAAAACACCAAATGCACTCCACAGAAAACACAAACAAACACTTCATGGAATACACATACTACAGCAAGTGCACACAACACACACTTGCGCTTTCACAGTCACTTCGTGCGCCAACCCCTTGGTTGCGGCTCTGCGATCTGCCATTAACTTGCTAATCTCCCTTTAACATGCAAATTTTCACCTGGCAGCCCTTTGATTGGTGGAAAACCAATCACTGTCGGGTTCGGCTGCCCACCGCTTACATTATCATTGGCTGCTGGCATTTGGGCTACGCCCATTTCAAACCCCTTTATAAACAGTTTGCCTTGGAAGCTAACTCCCCTTTTCCTGAAGACAACCGCTTGTGTTGCGATCGAAACGTGTTTTTTTGTTATTTTCTTTGAACCTATCTACGTGACTTTACCGAAAGACCCAAGAATATGAATTCCTGCAGTCACGAAAGTTTTAAGTCAAGATACAACACACACTGTTGCAAATGCACAACATTTACACCACAGCAAACATGTACACACTTCGGCAAATACACACACTACAGTGAAATACGAAATGAACACATAGCAACAACATGCACCACTCAATTAACACGCAGTACACAATTATCATTCAGTGACATCCTACTACTCCGACACATGCCATCTGACGACCAAACGAGGAGACATGCCACAAAACGTATTGTTTAATGGGATCAATCCCTAATAAAAAAAAATCATCACAGGCAAATGCGGGTATGAAGCTTTGGCAGATTGCTCTTACTCAGTTTAACAAAACATTAATATTTTTGTGATCTAACCCTATAGAGAGGACCGGTCTCCACCATAGGAATCGCCGGCTCAATGCCGCTAATGGAGGGTACCTGATGCCCGTTGGAGTGTAGAGATATGTTAATTCTTTAGAAAACTTAAAGCTATGAACAACTGTTGCTTTGTAACATCGGTTAAGATGTGGCTTCTCTGGTCTGCGTGTCGGTTGGACTTTGGGGTTTAAACTGTGTTAGAGCACTGAGCAGGTAGCGCTGGTACTCAATATGAATTTGGGGGGAAAAAAAACTAAATGAGAACCCACGGTTGCCCGCAAACCATGAGTGGTGTAATAAACGGCAGTTGGGCCATTGTCAGCTTGAGTTGAGGGTGGCGGTGAGCGATGCCGAGCTGATGGTGGGGCTGGGTACGTGGTGTCCGGCGTGAGCAGGTGCGAGAGGTGCGGCGGTCGGTGCGCGACTCTGAGAGCGGCCTCGAGAAGATGTCCATCGGCCACCACATTGGCGAGCGCGCCCACATCATTGAGCGCTCGCGCAACCATCGCACGGGCAACCGCGAGGAGAACCAGGACTTCATCAACCTGGAGGAGAGTGAGTAAAACTAAACTACACAATTTTTTTAATCTCACCAGGTGAGACCCACTGAGGCTATATAGGTCTTTTTCAGAAGTGACCTGGTCACAAATGATAGCCCAAAAAGTAGCTTATCATGTGCAAATTTATAGCAATCAAATACTCTGAACGCACATTGAATTTGAATGTGGAGTGTCAAGGCCGTAGCCTATAAATTATCTGCAACCCTGTTGTAGACAAGTTTATCGCTGTCACTAAAGTATCTATGGTTACGCACACACATTTTGTCGTTATCAGTTGACAGAGTGCAAACTTAGTTTTGTTTACAAGTCATGTTATTTTAAGCTCAGGGACTTTGGAAGCCTTTGGCCAAGATGCTCACTCTGGTATCTGAGTTCTCGCCACTGGGTCTGGATGTCACAAACCCGACACCAGCCTCACTTACAGCCCCACTTACCAGCTGCTAAGGCTGGCCTGGCATGTTTGCACTACGCCCTTCATCTAGCGCTCCGGAGGCAAGAGTTGACAGATCATAGCAGATTTTGTAAAACTATCAAACCTGCTGGGCTGTGAAGGTAGCTGAGTAATGGCGATTCCAGCAAATTTTTCCTGTGACTCATCTCAGTGTTCTCTCTTCGAGTGTGGGTTTTCCCTGGGAATTTAGGGTTTTCTCCCACAAGCGATACCCATCCTCGAAAGGCAGGTGCCTCCTGGTACATTGTCTTGAAACTTGGTGAAGCTCTTCTGGACAAATGAATCACCTACATCTACGGCCCTTTTGTCAGTTGACTGCTGCATGAGGGGGCCCTTGCCATACCAGTCATGGGTGTTATCTGACCATAATAATAATTAAAGCGATTTGTCAATCGACTGCTATATGAAGATTCTTTAACCATACTTCACGCTGGTCAGTGTGGGTTGGTCAAGGTGGACCGAGGACCGGTTCAGATACCATTTGCTGCTATTGTTAGGCCGGCAATCAGATTGATGTCACCAGTTTCACCGTGTGTGCCAAACTACTGTGCCACTTTTTCTTCTTGGTTCTTTCGGTAAAGTCACGTAGAAGGGAAGTAATAAAATAATAAAAATTTGACCATTCTCCACCGCTTAATACAATTTGTTTCCCTCAGCCGGGCCGGTCATTTTTAAGAAATTAATGCTCCAGATGTGGTGCCGTGAGGGCTGCTGCTTTGAAGTTGGCGCCAATTTATCCCATGCTCTAACCCTGGCTCCTCCCTCTGCCCCCCCCCCCCCCTCTAGCTGAAGCACCGGCGTTTGACGCAGAGTTCCGCTCCCGCACCTCCCAGTACGCGGGTGGCGGAGGTGGGGACCGTCGCATTGACTACCGTCGCCGTGCCGACCGCACCCCTGCCATCATGCCGGCCGGGGCTAGCAGTGAGGTGCCGGTGAGGAGGTACGACTGGTGAGGGCGGGGGGGGGGCGGTGGTGGCTGGGGTGGCCGGGGTGGGGGCTCACGCTTCCTCCTCCTCCTCATCCCCGCACCCCCCACCCCCGCTCCCTCCCTCGCCGTCGCCTCGGAGACGGAGCCGCGCACGATGCTGTATGGTACGTGGACAGAGCGGGTACTCGCCGTACTGCGGTACACTGCACCGCACAATGTTATGCAGTAAGGTCTCGAGAGTATGCGGGGGTTAGGTTCCGTGTACCCCCGCGTAAGCGCAAATTCACGTAAGCTGGGATTCGCCTTTACGTGTGTGGTATATAGCATGCATATACATGTACAGAAATGTCCAGTACTGAAACCGTAAATGATTCACTAATCATCAGTAGCGTCCAGGTCAGATAGAACACTAGATATTTTTTTGGACTCGTTTCTTGCTCAGGCGATACAGTTATACGACCTCAAATCCATGTTCGCATGATGGCGGGGTGGAGCGAAAGTACGAGTCACAAGTGTCAGTGATTCGGGGTCGGTCGCGTATGACTGGGTCCGCGTACTCTGAGACCTTACTGTACTGCACTGTGTTATACCACGCCTCGCTGCGGTACACCGAATAAGCACTGCAGTGCGGTACACTGCAGTGAACTGCATTGTGCTCCACACTGCATGGTCACTACACTGCACTGCTTTACACTGCTACACTACGCTGCATCACACCGCTCCATGGCACTGCACTAGAGTACACCGCATTGCGCTGCGCTTTGTTAAAACTCGCTGGACTGTGTGACACCACTGCACTATTCCACACGATACCGCACTGTGCTGCATACCACTGCACTACGCTACTGAACATTTCACTGCACTACACAGTGCTGCACTGCAGAATGTCATACCACACCAGATGAACAAACCCATACTGCCCTTCACAACGCACCACACTGGACCACGCTGAACTGTCACTCAGTTGCCTAGTTCTGAGGTTTCGCGTGTGCGTGTGTTTATTTTCTCTTTTCAGGGGTGTAAGTCACGTGTAGGCCTGGTCTCCAGTGAAAGTGTGACCTCTCAGCCCAGCTACGACCTCGCCTCACCTGACCTCCTCCCCCCCACCCTCACCCCACCCGACCCTGTGTGGGACGATGACGGTCGTTTGTGTTCACGAGCTCCGGAAACAAAAATGTCATAACATGTTACGCCAGCACAACGAAGGGGAAAGATCCAGCCCCATAGTGTCCGGGAGAGGGCGGGGGAGGGGTGGGGAGGACTCGAGAGGGCCCCCCCCCACCACACCCCCTCCCTCCTTCTAAATTCATACTCAAGTCTAAAAATATTGGTACAATATTTAACACCAATTGTGGTTTTCTTCAAAGTTTCTACACACAGAGAGCTAGGGCAGAATGCACGATCGGCAAGAGAAGATCATATCGTTGTTACCCTTGTTTAGCGTTTTCACGTTTTCTGAAAGTTTAATGTTCACCGTGTTATTCCCCCCTCCTGAGTTTTTGTATATCGCCTTCCACCCCACTATTTAAACAAGTCGCACGGCAGGGGCTGGAGCGATCTTCGCGGGTGGTACAGCAGCCCTGGGGACATGTCGACCGTCCGTCCCGTTCTTTTCATCTTATTTTTGTTCTTTCTCCCCTCCCTCACTTGACCGTCTCTTTTTACCGTCACCTCTCCTCCTTCCGTTGTTTGTTGTTTTTCGTCCACCGACGCCACGGCTTAGACGGACGGCGGTTTCCACGCGTTGACGACGGGAGACCAGGAGGAGGGGGGGGGGGGCGGTGTGTGTGGGCTGCATGGGGGGCGGAGTACATCTTCCCGTGCGGCTCTGGGCCGCCACCTCGTGGTTTCACGTCGCTTTCGCACGGGGGCTGCGGGGGATAGATTTGGGTCGTTAACGAATAAATATCGTTCAAGGTCATATAGACCTCGGAACACTTTGCCATGCACTACACCTGCATTTGCGTCCAGAAGCGAGTTTCTCCGTTAAAGCAAAATATGAAGCCGGATGTGTTGTGATGCTCACGCATGCTGTAAGTTCGTATGATAGGTAGAGCCTAATTGTCCACTGTTGGATGAGGATCACCCTTTGTGGTGCTGCTCATGAGGGCTATTTGACCATACTGCCCCACGCTGGTTATCCCGGACTGGTGATAGGACGGTATAGCACACACAACAGTGGCTGCATTGCCATCTGCTGCCCCAATGCCTATAACACCTGTTGTTATTTGCATGGCGGTCACCCATCCACGCACTGTCGAGATTCAACGCTGCTTAGCTTGTGATTTGATCCGTAGGTTAGGAGCTGCAATTGCAGTGGGGGATGATGCATTAAGGAGGGACGAGCTCATTACTCCAATCCGATCAGCAAAATTAGTCGTGCAGGAATGCGAGGAATTGTACCTTGTGACTGCTAACAGCCACGACTCTAGATTGCAAATGGGTCAGGGATTCGGCACATCACGCCTGGCTGCTGCCTTTAGGTGTGGCTCTGGTTCCTTGGTGATTGTGTAATGCAATTTCCCTGAACGAAGATGCTATATGAAACACATTATTATGTGTTCTAGAATAAATAAAAGTTTTCAACTGCTAGAAATGAGCCCTGTGACGATTCACCAAATTGTAATTTAAAATCTCTTCTTCCAATTGCAACGCTCACACCAATGTGTGCATGTGAGGATACATGATTTTCGATTCGTGCATACGTCATAGGATTTTTTTCCTTTAATTGCAATGGTTACGGTTCAAAACGAGATGGTACAAAACGCAAATGAGAATAATATCGCGTATCGAATCGTGACCTTCAATCTTAACTGGAACATCAAATTGAAGGGCAGCGGGGAGGTGGGTTGGTTGAATTGGCACTTGCCTATAAATAACACATTTTCATTGCAGGTGGCAAACGCGCTTCTGTACACAAATGCAGCTGACATGGCCAGCTTAGTGTTCTGCGGTCTTCATAAGGGTTGGGGAACACCCTTAACAGAGTTCTCTCTTAAAGGCCACGATCCCACTAGGGCAGTCGTCGTCGGCAACATATGGCTGCAGTCGTTTCCTCTTGTAAAAATGTAGTTGCCCAATATGTGAACTTAACCTGGTCGCAGGTCCTATTAGTTGGCAAATCGAGATGGCAACTTCCAAAAAGGTGATAAGACGAGAGGTCACGTGACTTGCCTGAAGTCAAGCTCAAGTCTTCGTTTGAGAGATGGTGGCTTCACGTTGGTGCATGACTGGGTTCTGGATAGATGAAAGAGAGAGCCTTGTGATTGATTACACTGGTCAACACACTTTTTCTGGCATAAGGTATTCCAACGGTTTTAATGTAATTTTGGGGTGCTGATTCCAAATCTGGCATCAGTTTTTGTCTATCACATCAGGTTTTTGAGATATCAAATATTGCATTTTCAATAAAAACTGCAGAAGAAAAATATTAAATAAATGTGGATATCTACATAAAATGATATTATAAACACACTATCCTAAAAATACAGCACCATATTTTAACACTAAAGCAGTCACTGACTCGCAACAACTTGCACTCATAAGTGACAGTTAATTTCGGGTAAAATCAATGAAAATGGGGTATGCCGATAGCATAAAAATGAGATGTGATGGAGCAAATCTGAGATCAGATTTGGAATCAACACCCTGAAATTAGTCTAAAACAGCTGCAAAAGTCCAGGCCAGAAAAAAATGTTTTTTTTTGTTGACCAGTGTTATCCTTTTCATCAAAGCGTATTAACACAAGCGTCTTGGAATAAGGTGCGATATAAATCTACGTAAGATAAGATGTATGTATCGACCAAGTGACTGATAAGAATGGATCGCATCAAGAATTGTCGCTTCAATTGCCATAGTTGCTCATTCTTCAAGAGTTGCTGGTGACGGTTGCCGGCGTAGATTTATTCAAAACTGCCCCCGTGGATCATGGCCTTATTGGTCTCTGTTAATTCTTGCCAGAGATTCCTGTTTTAAATTCTGTCCCCGTGAGGCCCTGTCGGTGGTTAAGTGGCATTGGGAATGGCTTTACAGTTTTGTTTTTGTGAAGCCATTCTTCTTGGGGTTACAAGGCATAGCGCAGCCGTCGCTTATTTAACTTGTTATGGAAACTAACATAGTAATATCCTCCCTTAAGCAACTACGATTTCCCAGGTCTCCTTTTTGAAACGCAGATGGCTTGCACCTGGTTTAATAAAGGACGATGAATCGAATCGGACTTGTCACTGTCCCTCTGCTGCAGTCTGTACCAATCACACACTAATGTTTGGTGTACTGAATTTACAAAAACAATAACTTGCCATCAAAGCACATTGTTGTACAGCGTCTAATAACGAGGCTCTGTGAAAACTCTGTATAATGAAGTACTGAGCAGTCAGTACAGTAATTCAAAATGTCAAAGTTACTGGAGAAATGTTTGACCTAGGAATCGAAAATACATTTTATGCAGGGCACTTCTCTGGAATGAAATGTTTTTTGTTGATGAATTCTTCCGAGCCATTGTATATTAATCTCATTTGCTAAAACGGGGTTAATAAAAATGTAACAACCCATAAAACTCGGTCTAGAAAGTAATATTTTGTTGAGAGAATACTCTGCATTTACTCAAACGACTAATTGAGGTGTACCCTGAAGCGACCTGGGTAACCCACAAAAACTCATGGTCCATTTGATAGAGGTTTGTAGAGAGTATGGAGGTGATGCAACAAGAATTTCCAAAATTGGGTTTTCATTTAATCAAGCTATTATTGTATTGGGTTGTATCTGCTGTACCTCCTTGATTGTGTAACCAGTTTTCACAGAGCCTCCGGCATTTGTTGAGCAGATGGTGCTGAATAGTAATTCATTGTAATGGTACAAGAGCCATCCATGAAAACACGGGGTGCAAAAACAACAAGGAAGGGGCCCGGTCATGAGATGCCATACGTAATACAGGGTTTTCAGTTTAGATATTCACGGTGGAGTTTGTTGGCTGGCAGTGTGTTCAGGTGGGGAGCCGGTTAGTTCCAGGCTGCAGAGGAGCAGGAGTGACCTGCTGCTTTATGTGGGTGCACCGTGCCACCGACCCATGCTGTGTTGATGGGGAACGGAGCCCCCCAACCCCACCCCATCTTGTCGGGGTTTTGGAATGAGCAGTAGGGTCGTGAGTAATCTGTTAACTGGGTGAAAATGTGACCCTGGTGGCCAATGCTGTGCTTGCCTCAAGAAAACTCTTCACAGCTGCTGCCTCTGCTGTGTTCTTGTTTAAGAGTTTGTAACCGTGCACACGTGACCTGCACCCGGAAGTCTCCCGTGTGTTGGTGAGACGTGTCGATTTCGCAGATTTATCAATTCAAATGGATGTGCTAATTTAAAAATCAAACAGCATATGTCAATTTTGAAGTCCGTAAAACAAATATTTGCTCGGTTCTATGAAAGTGTCCAATTGAAGTTTAATGTCTACTTTAAGAGATACATTCCTTTATAAAATGTTCAAATATGCATGACATTTTGCAGTGGGAGAGGAGAGTGGAAGTTGTATCGAGTCCTGGTCGATGTGTTCACCCTCTAAGTGTAAAACAAGGGATTGAGCTCACATTTTGTATATTAAAGAAAAACTGTTCCCTTAGTAATCTGTAGTTAACACCATCTGTATGTAATTAAAATATGTAGCCAAAAGGATATGTAATTCATCCATCAGCCTATGCACCTTCTGAACCTTAAAAATTAAAGAACAAAAACGAGGTTATTAAAAGCAATTGGTCAAGATATTGACGATGTTTTGGGCAAATCCGCTTTCGCAACATCATTTGTTCCAAGGTAAATTTACATCGATTTTGACTTCGTTGAGGTTCATTGGAAATGTGTGACCGGTTGCCAATAGGCCGATGGATAACTTTGTTCCCCTTCTGTCCTTTAAACTGACTTCGTCCACGGTGTGGTTTGTGTTCACCCGGGATAATGATCTTCCATCAGCAACCATTCGGTCGCGCAAGGTGGCGCTGTGACAGCTTACCATCGATCACTTGGCCAGGTAAAAATAAACTTCGCCCGGGTCCAATGTTGCCAACTCAGCGATTTTGTTGCTAGATCTCGTCGCCCCTCTTTGGGTTGCCCTGTCAACAACGTGCTGTTCAAAGTAGCTAGCAACAACTCCAGCGGCCTTCGCTGCATCGTAAATGGTACAGATTTAGGAACGATTCAATTTGTGTTTTAATGATTCTGTATCAAATTCTGTATCAGTTTAATGTTCAGTCTTTTGTAAATTGACTCGTGACACTTGGCAACTTTACACGGTCTATGGAGCAACTTCTTTGATGTTTATTTGGCGACTTTCCGCTTTGAGGAGTTGGCAAGATTGGGGCTCGGGTGATTTAATCCCGAGTCTCAAGACTTCAGGAGCGTCCTGCCCTGGGGTTCTTGACAAATTTGTTTTATTAAAACTGGCACTTACAAAAGCAAAGTTCAGATTTAAATTCATTGTACATTTAGTCGATAGTTTGATACTTTGTTTAATACAGGGCCTATATAACAACAACAGGATAACCCCCCCCCCTCCCTCCCAATTAACCTTTTGAAAATGTAAACCTGTCTGTGAAGTTGTAGATTATAGACGTTATAGACCATAGAATGTTGAATAATCTTCTTTCGTTTTCGGATTTAACTTTGTTCACGAGTCATTTTGAATTGTAGTGTCCATGCGTAGTAGAGTGACATACTGTATGTAATGTTTGACAAGGCGCATTAAGGGTAATATTAAGAGGTGAGAATGTTGTAGTCAGTGGTGGGGAACCTTTTACAAAGGGCCGAATACCTTTTAGTGGGCAACATACATTAGTTCACACTAAACCTTGATGGACTAAACATATTTGCTACGAAGAACATCAATTGCCCAAAACATCACCTATGATGTATATGTTTAATTCGAAGGCAGCGTTATTGACCAATTGTTAGTTTTTCTTGTTAATTGTGCTTTTCCATCACTGCCAACGCAGCAGAAAGATCACCGACATTTTTTTAAATTAGGCTACGGCTGGATTGGCCTTGTTCTTACAGCTACTTTAAAGACGGCCAGTGTTTCTGAGCGTCCTAAAATCGGAAGCTCGGTTCAGTCAGGTTGGAACATTCCCTCCCAGTGCCCAATGAGTGCAGCTGAGAAGCTGATGGAATATCGTTTTTGCGGGCTGTTTTGAAGTTGGTAGCCCTGGTGTAAGCTACGCGTTTTAGGAAGTGAAGCCACGGGTCGTATCTGGCCCCGCTGGGCCCATGGGTTCCCCACTCCTGCCAGAAGTCATTTGCTGTATGTTGCGCGGAAATGTTAACAATAAAACCAAACGTTGATTACGATATGAAACAAGCCACTTGTCACTGGTATAATAAACTGTCGGCAGCAACCTGAGCCACCCGTCACGAATGAGCACAGGGGGTGGGCTGGCAATCAGCTCCCTTGAGTCGTTGATGGAATTTCCACATTCCCTGTGGCCGGGAGTCGGTTTATCCACAGGACAGCTGTTGTTAATATTCGTGTATAAATGCTAATATTGTAGTGTCAAATATATAGTACTGACTGTCTAGTTATAACGTACCACGAACTCTTTTCGGGTTTTGCATAAAAAAAGAGAGTGATTAGCAAATTTGATACGAAATAAATGAAACCTAAACGACAGTTAGGGCGTTTGTTGGCGTTGTATAATTTTTATTCCAATACAAGCTTGCGTGGACTCTCTGTGCCTCGTCATTGTTATTGTTTGTGCTGTCCAGTTGTTTATCCCAACTTTGTAAACCAGGGTCAATCGTAAGGCACAGAACATACGTACATAAAGGTGCACTCACAACATTACCTTTTGTTGTACGGCTGATGTAGATGCAAGCAAGAACTACAATTTCACATTCAGATGGTCAGGCCAGATTTCCGTGTCAGGAGCAGCGAAGTCTATCGCTGTGATGTCTTCGTTATTTGCGGGTCGGGCATTGTGTCGTTATAGCCGCTAGAGGGAGCACTAGAGTAGAGGGCATTTGGGCGAACTTCCACTTTCCAGATGTGTCTAAACTCGAGGTTGGAGTAATACTCAGTTTTTTTTCGGTAAAGTCACGTAGGTAAAAAATAAAATAAATGAAAACAACTCCATTAAATCACGACGTTTCGGGCGCGACACAAGCGTCCTTCTTCAGGTGGGGACAACGTAGCGAAAGCACAACCGTCCGTTGCTTTCACATCGTTAACGTACCACGAAACGTCGTGATTTAATTTAGTTGTTTTCATTTATTTTAGTAGATTTTTTACCTACGTGACTTTACCGAAAACAACCAAATAGTATGAATCCTTGCAGTCACGAAAGCTTCAAATCTAGGTTGGAGTAAACCCACAGTTTTAACTCGCCACGTGCAACTTGCCCATCGGCTGATGTAGCCCATTTATGCTGTTGAGTGGAAAGATGCGGGTGGGGGGGGACGATTTAAGATAGTTTCCCATCAACTGCTACGCCTGGAGTTCGAAGCACCTGCGTGTGTCCCCTTATGTCTCGTCATAAAGGGGCCGGGCAATATGATCAAATAACGCGGAATGTGCCAACATCGAGGCACGCTGATAATTTGTTATGATGGAGCGCGCCTTTATTCCGGGACGTTCTTAGAACGCGTCGCACAGCGATAAGCAACTTGCATCTCATCTCAAGCATTTGTCGTTAAACCCGCCACCACCCGACAAAGCCAACTACTAAGGTTTGTCACGTAAACAGAACATGCCAATTCGTTACGAGTACAGCACATCGGTGTGATGGAGAGTAAATCCACAACATTTACAATCCGAGTACGATGTTTCGCCAGGACATTACAACGAGCAGCATCAGGCAACGACCAGATTTGTGAAGAAATCCTTAATTCTAGATTTGAAGCTTTCGTGACTGCAATGATTCATATTCTTAGGTTTTTTCGGTAAAGTCACGTAGGTAAAACATTAAAATTAATCATTGATGCAGCAAATCTGGCTGTGACGGTCCCACCTGATGACAGACTTGTGTTGCCTCCGAAACGTCGTGATTTTTATTTTATTTTACTTTTATTAATTTTAATGTTTTACCTACGTGACTTTACCGAAAAAACCTAAGAATAAGAAATCCTCCTGTTTCGCTCCTGAAATAGAGGGGTAGATGTGACGTCGGCACTTGTAAACCCACTCACGTGCGAAGTCCAGAGAGAGGAGGGGGTGGGGTGTTAATGAATGTATATACATTACAATGCGTAGTCATTACCGGTTGGGATAGTCATATGGTAACCAACGTACATGATGCATGCAAATTGTTCCTGCACATCAGCAGCAAAATCAAGCGAGCAGACTTCGTCTGACTCGCATGTGCACTTATTCCTCCACACAATAACTTATTCGAAGTCTTTTTTTTTACACATTCCATCAGCGTCACGGCCCATAATTGCATAATTTAGGCAGCATTTGTTTAACAACAACAACACTCTGGTTCCGATTATTAAGTGGGGATCATCAGCGGAGTCTCGCGTGAATATTTGTATTATATAAATAATATTTGTATTACTTAATTATTTCCCTTCTACGTGACTTTACCGAAAGAACCAAGAATATAGTGACGAATTGTCAAGTTCAGTTTACGTGACAACCATTGCTCGTTGGCTGTGTCGGGTCGTGGCGGGTTTGAACGACACATTTATATATTTACACGATCTAACCCCAAAATAAAAACTCTTAGGCATGTATTTGATGGCGAAGTCTGCTGCCCGACCCCAAAGCAAATTTCTTACGGTATATTCTTAGGTTTTTTCGGTAAAGTCGCGTAGGTAAAACAATTCAATTAATAAAAGTAAACTAAAAATAAAATAAAATACTTTTATTAATTTTAATTTTTTACCTACGTGACTTTACCGAAAAAAACCTAAGAATATGAATCCTTGCAGTCACGAAAGCTTAAAATCTAGAATTCTTACGGTATCTATAATTTACAAAAAATTTACACATTGGTGACAGCGGCGTTGGGGGTATATTTTACGCGCACGCTTTCACGACGACGATGCCGAATGCGTCAATTGCTGCTCGATCAGCCAGTGCACGTGTCGTCTTAGCGGGACACCTCGCAAGCGGCCAATCAGTGCCGTGCTTCATGAATGATTTTCGTCCGTCAGTTTTCGGTGGCTCGCCCCGCGTTTAATTTGTCTCTGTGCAGTAAGTAAACATTTAATCTTGGAGCGATGGCATCGGTGTGCGAGGCCAAACACGCCGCACGAATGCAAAGCCGCACATATTTGTCCCTGTGCAGTGTTTGTCTTCTTCTTCTGCTTAGCACAGAGAGACACGCATTACATAAATGAGCCACTGATTTGCCATGCAAAGTTTTAACAGGGTCATCATTGCAAAACTGGACTCGAGTAAGAACACAACGATTGATGCTGCTGAGAGCAGAAACGGGCATACTTTTTTTATTCGTTTGAAGGAGAGAGGGGGGGGGGATGTGTTTTCAAATATTGTTTTCTGCTGCAAAAAGAGACGAGCACGTTGACCCAATGTACAGTCATCCAACCCACGTTATAACAACAACAAAAAACAACAAATTAAAATAACGACGATGATATTGATCATAATAGTAACGAATTTTGGAATCACAAGACAAGGCAGTTGTTGAGTTCAGAAGGGAAGATAGCGGAATTTTTTTTTTCATTTCAAATTGGAAATTCACCAATACAATTAACACAATACGGGACGTCAACTTAAAGCACATAATGGTATTTAAAACGTTTATTATCAAAGCACACAACCTTCAGCTACAGAACACCTGAAACATCGGTAACATATCAATAGGACCAGTCACATCATTGTAACGGTCGCAGCCGCTAGCACGCATGCCCCCCCCCCCCCCCCCTGGGACACGAGCCATCATCACTTGAACCGACGCCCCGAAAAGCCAAACCCCAGCAAGCGCACAGGCGAAAGGGCGCGGGTATCGGGGCGAAAACACGAGACACGTGCGAAACGTTGTCGCAGGTGTGCACTTCCACGGGATAGGATAATCGTGGACCAATGACGGAGCATTATCACATAACTCCATCGTCCAAGGTTGCAAGAACAAATCATTGGGGGTTTTCACGGAGTGCACCGATGTTGTGAGATCGACGTCACCATCTGTTGCGGGTTATATTTGTTGTCGCTTGGTGTTTTTCTTCCTGCACGGCGTTGCTTAGCTGTGTCAGGAAGACGAGAGGAACGCCGCGGGGAACTGAAATGCATGCCTCGTGTGCATGGACCGCCTCGCTCGTGGGACAACGAGGTCTCCAGTCTCTTTAGGTGGTGTTGTGTAACCCGAGTGTGGAAGAAAGAGAGCACAGAGGCAATGGTGCCTACACGAGTGGTCAGTGCGTGACCAAACTTCCTGCCCTTCCGAACCAAAATATTCACAAGACCCGATCGCCACAAAACAACAACGGTGGTCACAGCCAGTTCGCTCGTGCGCTGGTTGGCTGTGGAGTTTTTCATTTAAAAAAAAATCTACATTAGCACCCCACAAGTACTCATTATGTCTGGCTCGGCCGCCACAGGCACAAGTGCCTCGTGCTAGTCGCAATTCTGCAGATGTTTCCTGTTTCAAATGAAGATAAAATTGAAAAGTAAAAAATATATATATACACATGAACGTCTCCATCGAGCAGCACTTGGAAGTGCCCAGCCGCGGTTTGGCCATCCCTGGCCATGTGGAGATCTGACCCCTGGTCATAAGGTGCCAGTACGTGGGCTTGTTAATGAACGTGTAACAATGAACTCTTAACGTAGATTCGTGATCATTATTTAACCAAATGAAGTATTTTTTTGTCTCGTTTTTACTGCCCCGTTTGCATTATTTGAATTTTTTTTCTGTCTCCGTACAGTTTTGTTCACTCAGCCTTGATGTAGCGGCATGTAGTAATACATAAATGGTCAACAAAGGAGTCATACAAGTAGGAATCTATGCACGTGTTGTGAGCACAATGATACATTTAAAGTTATTGATGCATTGTTACGTTCCCAATCGTTAAGCTTTTATCAGAGCACTTCATTGCAGTGTTTAAACCATCTTTTTAAATTGCGCTCTTTTGTATGAGATAATACAATTGACTAACCACTTAAGTACAATTTATGTAATGTTTTTCTTGGCTGCAGTACTATGCAATTCATTCATGAATACGAGTAGATTTCCCATTGGATTATAAATGTTTTAAGGTATCATATTTTAGAACCGCATTCCGACAAATGCCATCTCCATATATCCATAACACATTTGTAAATAAATCCTGGTCTTTTTAGAATTAATATCGTAATAAAGTCATCGACAATAATACTTTTCAGCTCTTTGTCAATCCACTGTTTGGATGAAGGCCTTCCCACACAGTGTTAGTCATGAGGGGTCGTTAGACCATACGTTGGTCACGTGCGGATTGGTGAAGGGGATGTTTGGTTAGCAGGGGAGGATTGCCACGTCTGCTTCAGATATTCAGATATAAATCACCACGATGTTATCTGTAGCTGGGAACTAAACCGGAGTACTCGAGTATCGGGATTTATCGCAGTACAATGTGCTCACCACTGCAACCCTGGTCCCCCAGACAGGAAATTAATACAGTACAAGGAGATGAAACAACTTTTTTCGTGACACTTAAGCGCAGCTCGGCTTGAATTGCAGAGCTGCGCCTAAGGCGATGGCCACTATGAGCTTGCTTGCCAATCGTTTCAATATTTACAGTTAGTTACAAAAACGGCAAAATGAACCCTTTCATAATACAAGATCAAAATCACCCTTTTAAATGCTTCCAATCATCAGATCTCAACGAGCTAAGCAGGCCTGAGCCTGTGTTTAGTACTTGGATGGACGGGAGACTGCCTTGGAATACCAAGTGTTGTATGCTGGTGTTGAGAGGTGGCCAGGAAATGGCAGTGCAGAAATGGATTCTTTAATCTGCGAGGTTTTACCCGCTTCAAAAATATGCGTGGGGTTATTCTGGGGGAGTTGGGTTTCCTCCCACACGAAGCCAACCCCTCTCATGGAGTTGGCCAAAACATCTCAATGTAGCAGGACCCTCCCAAGAAGAGTCTTGAGACTCAGTGAGGCTCTCCTGGTGAAGTAAATGGCATTGCTATTATTAATATCATAAACGTAACCCACAATTCGCTCTGCACAAAATCGATCAACGTGCTTCGCAATATTTCGCCTTTGTGACATTTAACATCATGTCCGTAGAGAAAGTGCTTCCTTCGGAAAATAAAATCAATTGATGATGTGCTTAAATAAAAAATCTAATGTGAATATCGGCAACCTTTGTGTGACAAATCGACAACTCTGTTTTAATGGAATATTAAAGTAAGGCTCTCCTAGTGACCCTTCACCACCACTAGATGGAGACTCGCTTGTATCGGAGGAAACATCTATCCTTTGTTTTTCCTTGCAAATCATCACGGCTCAACTATTGAATGGTTCCCTTCTTGATATTCAGCACATCAGCACCTGTGGCTGCACAATACACGCAACATGCTTCATGCAAGTAAGAAAAGTCCTCGCAGCAACACGAGCCTTGTTACGCGTTCATCTCAAACCTCGAACCTCGCCGCTGCTGTACAAGAGGGCGCAAGATAACTGAAATATTTTTGCCCTTCGCTTATCGGTCCCAACAGTGATCAAAAGATGGCTCATGCCTATAACACCAGTCAACCCGGGAACAGTTGTTATGCAGGCCACACGCTGCTAATGAGACTCAGCAAAGTCAAAACCAGTCTAGGATTATGCCCCTTCAAACAAATACTGCCGCAAAACGTTGGTCCTTTATGCCCATTGGTGATGGACTTACTAAGTGCGATTCTCTTTCGATGATGAAACAGACCCTTTCCTCTGCACGTGTTTGTTCTGTTTGATTATTCTCTGCTGTTGAATGCGTCTTACTCTTTTTTTATTGTCCTGATCTGTATTCAGGGCTTTTTTTCTCTCATCACCATCCATGGTTTTTAATTACAGTCACAGTAGTAGTAGTATCGTGAGCACTGCAATCTTATCAATCGGCAAAGATACACATTTATTCAATGGCTTATCAATAAACCCCTCAAGACTGGGTTTTCCAAAAAAGCTGTTATGTTTCAACAGTCCAATCTGCCTCCACACTCACAATCTCGGTGGAAAATCTCACATGAGGCCATGGAGGGACCTCAGAGCTCCACCCCGAGAGCCTGATCTTGGAAACACCAAGTGCGTTTCTCAGTGCCCACGCGTGCAATTCCAGCGCACATTGTCACTGAGTTACACCGTTCTGCGTGGAAATATTGATTCTTCTCATGGTCGAGCATTTGTCCCAGCAGCAGCCGTCCGCGGCACCGTGCTCTCCGCACTTCATCTGCGCTGCCGCCATCTCCGCGTCCTCCGCATCCCGACTACCACCGTCGCCGCCGATGTCAAAGGTCCCTCCAGACACGACAAACAGTTCACAGTCGGGCAGGCCGCGCGCGCCCTTGGACGGCGTGCCGTGCCTTGGCACAGGCGTGCTGGTGCGCGGGCCACCCCCTCTTGGCGTGGAGGAGTGGGCCGGGCTCGGGCAGGGGCTCACCATCGGCGTCTCGTCGATGTAGCTGATGATCTCGTCGAGCGTGAAGAAGCGGCTGCTGCCGCTGTCGCCATCGCCTTCGTCCAGGCTCATGGTCTTGACGACGACGGGACGCAGCGTGGCCGTCACGCCACCCTCCGAGCGCCGCCTGCGCCCTGCGTAGTTGGCGGGGCGCCCGTCTGGAGCCGACCCCGAGGTGGAGATCTGCCCGGCGCTGCTGCTTACTCCGATGCCGCCACCGCCGCCGCCGCCTAATCTCTTGCGGTAGTGCTTGGGCGAGGCGTGCTGCTGCAGCCCGGTGGAGGAGTCGTCTGTGGGTCCGCGAAGTTTGCTGCCGCTGGATGAGCCCACGGGCCAGCACATGTCCCCATCGTCGTGCGAGCAGCGCCTCGTGTGCGGCAGCTGGAAGAGAAAATCGCACACGAGTTGGTCCGTGTCAGCGATGGGCCGAGACGTCAAGCTAATCAAAAAAAGATGTCAGATTTAATTTTTTTACAGATGCTGGGCACATGTCCAAAAATCCAAGTGCCAAGCAGCGAGCGACATTCTTGCATGTGTAATAGTAACGGTTAATCCGCTTCTTGAATTGAGCAAGGCAATTGTAAGAGATTTGGAAGAGAGGCGATGGGAAGAAAGTCCAAAGTGGAGCGCTGCGGGGAAAGATGCAGAAATAGGAGTGTTTGGACCCACAGTTTGGTGAGTGGGTGAGTGATTGAATGGGTGAGTGTATTGTTTTTTACCTGCAGTGTGGTGGTTAATCACGGTACAAATGAGACGAAATAGTCAGTGTGCTCGACCGATTCCACGTAATTGGGTGGAGGGAATCAATGAGTGAAGTTCATGGGAACGAGAAGTGATAACGAGGTGACTGATTTAATCGGTGAGTGCGGGATCGTTAATCAGCCTGACTGCTTGATGTTTAATTCGCATTGGAATTTTATCTGTTCCTTTGAGTGAGTAGGACATAAAAGTGGGTTAAGTACAAACGGGTTTGCTTGTTTGATATTTGCCCTGGTGATATATATTTTAGTGATGTCATCAAGGGAAACAGACATTTTCAATCTAGATTTGAAGTTTTATTTATTTTATTTTATACCTTACGTGACTTTACCGAAAGAACCAAAGAATTTCGACATTTTCAGTGGCACGTTGATGAGTCAACACATTCTGTACCACATTCTCCTTGGCAGACCAGGGGACAAGCACCACAACAGGGGCTTGCGCACAAACACGTCCACGTCGACGCCTACGAGCACCTCGTGCTCTCTTTTAGCCCCGCCCCCCCTCCCGATACGTCCCATTCATTGGCTACCACATTCTGATAAGCTCCCCCCCCTCTCCTCCCCTCCCCCTTAACTTGTATTTAAGAGCTTGCATCTTGAATCCCTGCCTCACTTGATGCAGCAAATCTGGCTGTGACGGTCCCACCTGATGACGGAGACTTGTGTTGCCTCCGAAACGTCGTGATTTTTATTTAATTTTTTATTAATTTTAATTTCATTTTTTACCTACATGGTGACTTTACCGAAAGAACTAAGAGCATGCTAAGGGAGTTTCGCAACATTTGTGTCATCCACCAGTGCTGAATTACAGGCGTACATAGCCACCCCCCTCCCGGCTATGAATGTTTCACGGCTCTGCCAGAGGTACCTGGAGGAAGTGCTTGCCTTCCACGAGCAACTGGTGCAGGTCACGCAGCTGGTACCCCTCCAGCGGTATGCGGTTGAGAGCGATGTTCTCTTTGCTGGGGCTCAGCTCGACATCGCCTTCAGCCGGCAAATCACGAACGCATCCCCCGTTGGTCTTCATGCCTGTCGATATACACACACATCGATGCAAGGGAGAGGCGAGCGTTGTCATCATGCAGCATAACGTCGCATATCCGTCCATCGCAAACCTGACCTGTAAACCAGCAACTGCGGAGGCGCGGGTTTGCTGGATCACACAAATGTCGTGACGCTCCTTTACTGTGGGCGTCAAGGTGCCATGCGCTGGTTTGACAGAAGGTAGTACGGAACAAAATACGGACCTTTTCTACCTGTGTGGGATAGTGCGTTGCCCCCTTGCACGCGTGCGTTTGCTCGGGGTGCTCCGTTTTCTTCCCACATGTAAACACTCGTGAATTGGCCGATCACACCTTCGTATGTTGGGGAACTGTAGAGCTTGGGCAACTGTTGGTATCGCCGGCTCACCCCGTGGATGTCGCTTTTTTTCTCCCCCGATTGAGATTCGTCGCGCCTCTTCGCCGTGTTCTCTCGTTGTCGAGAGTGAGCGCAGCCTGTGCGGTGCCGCGCTCCGAGTTTAATTCATCATCATCATCATGCTTGTGATTAGCAGGTCAGGCTACCTCCTGTGTGCAATCGGGCCGGGTTGTCAGCTGTTCATATGATGGAGCCTTCTGCGGACGCCGCTGTGCAATAGAATTACGGTTGCGGCAGTCACGTGGCTGTAAATGTGGCATTGTTATCGTACGGTACAACGTTGCATATACGCAACCATCACACATCTTCCCTGAACAATTATCCGTCCATACCGAGTGTGGTGTAGTATTTTTGTATGCCTGGTGTAATTAGTCTCTGTATGTAAAGGTGCAACCCTGCAGTTGCTTGCTTGTGGCACTGTTGGTGGAAGGACTTCCAATAGAGGGAGCTCTGGAGCGTATTTTTGGCCTACTCTTTCACTCTGGCCAGTCGACTGACTGGTGTTTCCATTGTTTGCATACTGCTGGATGGTCGGAGGAAAAATGGGGTGTTAACAATCTTGCATCGTCGATTCAACAACCTCGCCAGGAAATCGATCGGGCGACCTCGATTGCAAGTCCCATGCGCTCACGGTTACGTCATCGATGTGACCTTTTCAGACAGTAATGTATTCCTAATCATCCGCCTCGAAAGCACAGTGTAGCATGTTCCCATGTGTAAAGCAGCGTTAATTATTTATTTCCAGCACCTCATTTGTACGTGGCGTGTATCTGTAATTATCTACAGATGTTCACATTTCTGACCTTTCACATATCCGTCTCCGGCGAGTGGGTGCTGTGAGGTTGCGTACATTAGTGCTCGACTATTCCTGCTGTGTTCTCTGGGCGTACGCATGTTGAACCTCTAGTAAGCAGTGTATAGCCTGGATAGTTTAAAAGCATAAAACAAACTTAATGCTCATGTAATAAAATGGCTGATAACATGAAATATATATTTTTTCCCACCTTAGGTTTTGTGCAGTCATTGTTTATGGACAACACAAAGTGTTAATTCCCCATCGTTGTGGAGAAAGTTCATAACAATACTTTATTGCTGTTACTAAGTTTCTCTTGTGTAACCAGATCTAAAAAAAGGTGTGGGTGTTTACGCTTGCCAAAATAAACTCACAAAATGCATGATGTCACCTCACCATATTTGTCAATCCACATTTAACATAACGTTTTTTTGTACAAAATCCATCAGCCATATGGTCTTATTTAATATATACTTTAGCTCCTTAGTATTAGTTAGACTTGTACCTTTAGTATAGTTTGACTTGTAAACCACTTATTTAAGATTTAAGATTCCTAAATGTTGAATGTATGCACCTTCCGGCCAAAGTTAATTCCTTGTCTGTGCGAACTTTCATGGCGAATAAAACCCTTTCTGATTCTGATTTTGATTCTGAGTGTATTTTAGCAGTATTAGTTCGATGTAATCAAACCCTGATACGGATTTTGACAGTGTCTCCATCAGCAGAGTCAGGCTTGTGGTGAACCAATGCTGGTGAACTGGCTGATGTTTATAGGCAAGGACCCTTTCTGTTAGATATGGGTCCTAGTTTGATTGAAAGGTTTCGTGACTGCAGGGATTCATATTCTTGGTTCTGTCGGTAAAGCCACGTAGAAGGGAAACAATAAAATAAATATTATCTATAAAACAAAATTATCACGACATTTCGATTGCAACACAAGCAATCATCATCAGGTGTTTTCAAATCTTCTTGCTGTGGTTTTCACGCCTGATGATGATTGCTTGTGTTGCAATCGAAACGTCGTGAGAATTTTATTGTTTTCTATTTTTATTATTTTATTGTTTCCCTTCTACGCGACTTTACCGAAAGAACCAATAATATATATATGGGTCCTAATTTGAGGGAAGTGAGCTTAGATGGAAAGCACACCTTGGTCGATCGATACATTGTGACGGGCCAGACTTTGAAGGCAGCCTTTGTGATGAATATTGTTTGGTGGCTGAAGGGACATCCTCCGGATTCTAGATTTGAAGGTTTCGTGACGGCAAGGATCCATACTCTTTGGTTCTTTCGGTAAAGTCACGTAGGTGAAAATAAAATAAAAATCGTTTATCGCTCGTCCCTCACTGCTCCGTGTTTAGCCGCCTTCCTCAAAGCCGGGATGCATGAGAAATGATGAAGACCAATTAATTTATTTTTTGTTAAAGACAAACTGGCATTGTTAGACGACGCGTTCAACCCAGTAACGCTGGGTGTCACTGTCATTCGTGCAGAATTCCGCCCGTAGACCGGCCTGAGGATCTCTTTCTCTATTTGCCCTTCCTTGTTGGACATCGCGTAGCATCGCTGTTCTTTGCCTTCCGCTGGGCCTTTCCCAAAGAATCTCCTATCGATCACCTCCTTCCGCTCATTCCCTCTCACCACCACATGTCTAATCGCCTCCTTCAGGTCATTTCCTCTTACTATTACCACCTAATTACATCATTCAGCTCATTCCCTTTCACTGCTGCCTGCCAAATCCAGCTTTCATTCCTCCTCCCGCTAGATTGAATGAGTCCACATTCAATCTAGCGGGAGATCTCGGAGCTCAGCTGGTAGACCCTGGGTAGTGATTGGATGAAGCAGATGTTACAGACTGTGCAGATACCTTTTGAGCAGCAGCAGCAGCAGCAGAAGGCGGTAAGTACAACACATCTCATCGCTGTGCTAGTCTTCTACACTTCGCTTTCGTGACTGCAGGGATTCATCTGCTTGGTTCTTTCGGTAAAGTCACGTAGAAAGAAATTAATAAAATAAAAAAAACATAATAAAATAATTCTCACGACGTTTCAGCCACAACGCAAGCAGCCGTCCTCAGGTGAAGAACAGGTCTGTCTCTCCTTGTTCTTCACCTGAAGACGGCTACTTGCGTTGTGGCCGAAACGTCGTGAGAATGATTTTATTATGTTTTATTTTTATTATTTTATTAATTTCTTTCTACGTGACTTTACCGAAAGAACCAAGAAAAAGTATGGTCAAGTAACACACCCCCCCCATAACTTGCACCACATGGGGAAGTCTTCATGCAGCAGTGGATTGATGAAGGCCTGTTGCACGTACAAGTGAAGATCCCCCACGTGGGTCAACAAACCTACTTGCTGCACTGACTTCTACTCAGTGGTGGCACTGCTCGACAAAAGTCATAATAATACTAATACTTATTCTTGGTTCTTTGGTACAGTCAAGTAGAAGGGAAATAATAAAATAAAATAAAAATATTACTTTATTATTTCCCTTCTACGTGACTTTACCGAAAAAACAAAGAATATGAATCCCTGCAGTCACGACAGCTTTAAATCAAAATTGAATACTAATACTTGCTTGCTCATGAAGATTAAAAACTGCGTATGCCATCTCCCACCCCATGCTTCCCTTGCCGACCCTCATCCTCCATCCCCCACCGCAGGGATCTGTGCCTCCACCAAAATATTTACCCACCAACCATCCCTGCAGCTGCAGGAACCACCTTACCGTGCGTGCGTGCGCAACGCGCGCACACACAGCCGAAGCGACTCCCAACAACATCTAAGTCTCAGGCTTTACACGCGTGAGTCACTGGCAACGTCCAGCCACGCGCTCCACGTGACGCCGAGCTGACACCCGCTCGCTCGTCTCTATTGAAGGACGTGTCTGGGTCAAAGTGCGGCCACCGGCTACTGCAGACGCAGCGCATCGATCGAGCGGCTGAGCAGCAGTCTAGACACGCAGTCAGCCCCCAGGGCACCACTCTGTGGACCCATTTGCCAGCGGGGGGCTGGGGGGGCGGCGGAGGGGGGGGCGAGGGGCCCGACGGGGGGGGGGGGGCCGGGGGGCAGACGAACTTGCAATGCGCACATGTCTGTGTGTTGTTTAATCTAGTCCAGAAGCCAGAGAATGCTCGTGCTGTTTGTTCTGCTGGGTGGCACGTGGCTCGCCACCTTGCAAGCCGGGCCTCTCTCACACGCACGATCTCCACGCCACCCACAGACTCGCAGTGTGGGGACCATACGCCAAGACGACACCACGTAGCGACGTGCCTCCTCCCACGCCAACCCCTTGAAAAAAAACCCTCAAACGGGGGTCTTTTCCAAGGGGGTCCCTCCTAGCAAAGCCCCCAAGCAAGCAGCCCCCCCTTCTATCCCCAAATGTCGACAGTAAAATTCGATCTGATAGAGCTGCCGTGGTGTCATGGTCAGCTCAGCTGGACGTGCAATCCAAAGGATGCCAGTTCTCAGCGCTCTCTTGGCGTGGCAGTTAAAAACAACGGGGACAGTCCTCTTAAATCGCCTCACTTATGTTCACGCTTACGGTGACTTTCAGACCGCATTCCATTCTCCGTCTCTCCCCCCTCCTCTGTTCCGAGCATAGATGGACTCGTCCGTCTGAACAACCGCCAGTCGCTGTCCGTGGTGCTGACGATAAGAAAAAACGCCACTTTTTTCAAAAAAATTCTTGCTGTGGTTTTCACACCTGCCGATGATTGCTTGTGTTGCAATAGAAACGTCGTGAGAAATTAATTGTTTAATTTTTATTATTATATTATTTCCCTTCTACGTGACTTTACCGAAAGAATACGCCTCACTTCTGTCCACCGAGCACTATGAATGGGTACACCATGGTAAGTTGATTGGCAGGTCACTCGTGATGGGAGGCATTGTGGGTACTCCCACCTTGTCCACGATGTCTGGCCAACATTGGAAGAGTAGGCCAAATACCCTTCCATCAGCAGTTCCCTGGGCAAGTAATTGGATAGGCTATAGCTTTCACAGTCAATTGCCATATTTGTTATTCAGTGTACTGCTGACTCTAATGACGTTACAAAATTAACTTAGTCTGTCCCTTCAATCGGGCTAATTAATTTTGTCTCAATCAGCCGAGCTTTGTACTTTGGAGGGCAGTTCTCGTCCCCATCACTCATGATGATTCTCATCCAATCGGTGAATATTGACTGCCATAAAAACAAATAAAACACTCGCTGCTGAACAATTTTTCATTACTCATTTCGTTAACAACATTGGCGCTGCTATGTTACGTTTGCGTTTAATTACTGATGAGTCCGTCCCCTTAGCGAGAACACCCCCCCCCCTCCCTGCGGCCCTTTAACGCGAACGACTGTGAGTGAAACCCACGCTGCACTCGTGGCTTTGGCGGCCGGGCCATTTGCTCGCGGTGCCTGCGACCCCACGGGGGCAGACGTCGCTCGCAGCGAGCCAACGGTGTTGTTTCTAATCCGGGAGGATGCGGCAACCGGTCGGCCAAATTCGTACACGCGAGCATCGCTGTTCGAATAAGCCCTGGCGCCTTCTGCACTTTTAACCAACCGTGGTGACATTCCAACTGGCGCCTACGTTCCCGATTGGCGGTGTTGACCAAACATCCTCCGATGCTGAAAAGTGTACCTGCGAATTACTCGGCTGGGATTATACGTGGCAACGTCGCCACCCCCCCCCCACCCCCCAACTGCAAAAACTTGGCAGGACCCTGCTGAAAAAGTGTCTTTGACTCAATGAACAATAATAGCAAATAACACAATGTGAAGTCACAAAACCACTGGCAGATGTCCATGCACGTTTTTTTGTTCTACACTTCCACCTGACCGCCTTCTCTGCAACCGTGCAAACGAACGAGTGGTTTAGCAAATGTCTTAATGGATGAAGCCATATCAGCTGGCTCGACTGATTTAACTGTGTCTTAGGCTGGCCATTTGTGACCATTAAGAGCCCCTAGACATGATACTCTTCTTAAATATTTGACGGGAATCTTGCGTTTGTCACCGGTGTCGCTAGCGGCGTAGCATGGTTGCCATAGGCCCTGGCGCAAGGAATGAAATAGGGTCCCCTTGTCTAAATTTGCCCACTCGTTGTAGCCAAGAAACTCGGCTACGATTGCCACCTGTCCTGATTTTACCAGGATCGCCCGCTGTTTGTGGTAACTCTCATCGATCCATTGATGAGTGGATGGATAGATATCTGAATGGATCGATGTATGACCCACGGATAACCACCGTCACCCACCCACCGTCATCGAGATCCTCGGCCGCCATGAGCGTGGCACAATGCTCCCAGATGGTGGGGCAGTCGGCACGGTAGCGCTCGCATGCGCACAGGAACAGCGGCAGCAGCAGCGTCTGCACCACGGAGCACCAGAGCAGCGCCAGCACCATCCAGAAGGACTGCGCGTCGTAGCGCAGGCTCACGAAGCTGATCACCTGTGTGTGTGTGTCAGAGGGGAGAGGAGCGCACGGGTTGTTAGCGGGGACGCTATCACATTTCTGGGATATTCATCTTCTTGGTTCTTTCGGTAAAGTCACGTAGAAGGGAAATAATAAAATAATAAAAATTAAACATAATAAAATAATTTATCACGACGTTTCGGCTACAACGCAAGCAGCCGTCCTCAGGTGAAGAATGAAACACCACCAAGCTTGGAGCGTATATTTAAGCTGGGTTGGAGGGGGAAGAAGAGCGCCTTGACAAAATCGAAATTTCTTGGAGACTCAACCGGGACCTCTGGTCGATGAACTGGCTGCACCGCCCACTTCACAGGTCACGGGCCGCCCCCTGCCTGCGTAATGAGTCGAGCGTGACGCTCGGCAATTTTAAACCGGGGACAAAATGGGATATTCACAAATAGGAGCAGAGATGACCGTTCTGACACCGGGATTGTCTCAGCCAAACCAGGACATTTGGGAGCTTTGACCTTAAGTTGAGCCCTGTACAAATGAGGGGAGGGATGCCCTAGATACAGAGGAGGGAGACAGAGAGAGAGAGACAGGCTTTCACGTTAGCCCAGATGGGCATGGTGGTTATACACACAAAAACTAAGACAAAGATCCCCCCCCCACTCTTGCACATGGTATTGGTGTACACACAGAATAAAGATAAGATAAGGCGCAGGTGCTGTTGTGTTGGGGGGTCCAAGCTCTGTGCATTCACGAGGCTGGGATGACCTTTTCACACAGAGCCCCACCGTGCCACCCAATGGGATGCTTGGAGCTGTCGGCATTCGCTGAAAAAAAAAATCTCCTTGCTCGGAAAGCTCCTGGCCAGAAGCCAGCGCCACTACGAGCGACGAAGTCACAGTCTGTTGTGTCACAATGCACAGAGCAGACAGAGAGGGCAGTGGCTGAGAAACACCGTAAACCAATAACAATGAAAACAAACAATTCGCCCAGAGTAACTGGTAACATTTACACGGAAATGTATCAGGATTATGTGATTTTTATTTTATTTAAATGCTGTTACACAGGTAATTGAGGAAATGTTCCTCTGAAATAAGTTTTTATTTCAAACACAACATTTCCCAAAATCGATTTGAAGCTTTCGTGACTGCAGGAATTACTCTTTGGTTATTTCGGTAAAGTCACGTAGAAAAAAAATAAATTAAATAATGGAATACGACGTTTCGATTGCAACACAAGCAGTCGTCATCATAAGGCGTTACGTCTGTGTGTCTATGTTGTGTGTGTCTCTCTCTGTGTGTCTGTGTTGTCTCTCTCTGCTTGTGTGTCTGTTTGTTTGTCTCTCTCTCTGTGTCTGTGTTGTCTCTCTCTGCTTGTGTCTCTCTCTGTGTCTGTGTTGTCTCTCTCTGCTTGTGTGTCTGTCTGCGTATCCCCGTGTCTGTGTTTTGTCTCTCTCTCACATTTAACAATCTTTGGAAGAACGTAATCAACCAGATAGGGTGCTGACCAGAGGTGGGACAAAGTCATTGTTATGCAAGTCCAAGTCGAGTCTCAAGTCATCAAATTCATGACTCGAGTCTGACTCGAGTCCAAGTCACATGACTCGAGTCCACACCTCTGGTGCTGACTGTTGTGTTGCAATCGAAACGTCGTATTCTGTTATTTAATTTATTTTCTTTCTACGCGACTTTACCGAAAGAACCAAGGAGTAATACAATTTCCCCTTCACTTTGTTCCAATTGTGTTCTCGGCGTCACGCCACGAGATGAAAAATCTCTTCAGATGTCTCGAGGAGCAGCGCATCCCTTCGTTTTGGAGAAGTGGATATCCCAGAGCTAACGCTTCAGACCTGTTCAAGTTACGAATGGTTCACGCAGCAATGGCCAGCACGTGTCCCCAATGGCCCTGCATAACGAGAGTAATGTTCATCACGTTCTGATTTGTGCTCATGATGGAACATTTAAATTACACGCTAACGCATGAGCAGTAGGCTAAGCAGTGAGTCGGTGGCCAATAGCTCCGTAGATTGATGATTAAACGAACGCTAAATAGGGCTTGTCAGTACTACACGTAGCGTGGCAACAGTAATTATTGATCACATTACCAAATAATTGGTCACTTTTGCATTCGTGATACAACTAATAACCACCAGCCACCATTCACTCCCAGGACACCTCCAATTTTCACAGCGTGACTCTGCCCCTGCATAGAGATCTGTAGGCCAAAGCGGCCTCAACTCACTCCCATAAGAGATGCCTTAGCTCAAGCAAGCTCCTTCAATCTCACAGAGATCAAGTGGCTCACACAAACTCATCCACACTCGTAGAGATGCGCGTTAGCGTGAGAAAATAACTGGTCAGCGCGCATCTGTAATCTAAGCGCTAACGCCTGGGAATGCAACTTTCTCAGTACGGCTGGCAGCTGCTTGCATTGACGCCGTGTACACGCCGTGTACAAGACGTGTACACATCGTCAAGCAACGTGTACAAGCGACGTGTACGCGGACGGCACACGCGGATTGCTCGCGCAGATGTTTGCCCGCGTCCCATCGTTCCCGAGAGGAAGACAAAGCCTGGATTGTCTGGAAGGATTAATGAGGCGAGTTGTGAATCCACACGACGCCTCTGGATTTTGGCACTCCCGTGTAAACACACACACACACACGCGCACCCCTAAAAAAAATTGGGTTAGGCCACGTGGTAGCTTTATGCCTGTCATTAACCCTTGACCACCCGAAAAAATTGTCACGCTTACAAGATTGTCACGGTTATTTACACAATGCCAATGTATCGATCAAATTCTGGCCGATGAAGCTCCTCCTCACCGGTGGCTTAAGATAAAACTATTGGCCAGGGGAACACATGTTTTAATTATACGCACGCTTGGCAAACATCATCTGTGAGCGTTGGCGCAGGTGTCCCGGCAAAGCGCGCGGTGTTTGTTGATGCCGACGCCGGATTGATTGAATTCGCCACTTTGAGATGCATTTTTTCATTTTTTATTTAACACGCCTTATCTGAGCATACTGGGTGGAGTGGGAATGGTGGGGGGGGGGGGGGGTAAGTTGTCGGACTATCCTGGTGACCTGTGACCTGGTGACCCGGTGACTTGGTGACCTGGTGACCCGGTGACCTGGTGACTTGGTGACCTGGTGACCTGGTGACTTGGTGACTTGGTGACCTGGTGACGTGGTGACCTGGTGACTTGGTGACCTGGTGACCCGGTGACCTGGTGACTTGGTGACCTGGTGACCTGGTGACTTGGTGACCTTGTGACCTGGTGACCTGGTTATGGCTCGCATTAGCTTCGAGTGATCTTTGAATCGGCCCCCACCTCTGCCAGCCCACACTGGCCAGCGTAGTGAAGTGGACAAAAAGGGCTGTTCATGATGATCCAAGCCCGCTCGGACAACGAGTTTCTCTTGCGTTACATTCCAACAGGCTCTTATCGCGTTTTAGTCAGAATCGGAATTAGAATATGTATTCATACTGGAGGAATGCAATGAGCTATAAAGCTCGTTCTCACAGATGTCCAGTCATCACCGACACACGAGAGGTTTGGATCTTGCTCGCGATGTGTGGCCAGTTGTTACGAGATGAGTTTGGAGCAAAGGGTGGCACAGTCGGGTGTTTTACAATCGGGTTTAATTGTCTTTTTATATTAAAACCGATCATCTGAGATTGGGAGAAATCCGGTTTAATTGGTTCTAATTGCAGAACCGCACTTCGCCAACTTCTCAACGATGGGCTTCATCCATTCCAAGCGAAGGAACTCACTGGCGCCCACGATTGTGGAGAAGCTCGTGTTCATCAAGACCAACCTGCCCGCCGCATTCTACGACTACCCCGTGCCCGACGGCCCCCCTGAGTACGATAGCAGCACCGACGAGGAAGCAGCCTAAGCCTTGGATCAGAGTTTCGTATTCATTAAACCAGGTTTTAATTCCCCGAAATCGTGTTTAATTGTATTAAAGAAACAGCCCGATGCCTGCCGCTGGAAAAATCGGGTTTTTAAATCCTTTATATTAAGTTCGCTTGCTTGCTTGCTTGCGTGCTTGCGTGCTTGCTTGCTTGCTTGCTTTCGACCGTGCAAATCTTTCGGTCGTTTTTTAACCCACTTCCCGTGATCCAATCGAGCTGACATTTTGCACACAGACTCGTTGTGCGAGACAATTAGTGTTCGTGAAAATTTAAATACTGGCACACAATCATCTGACCCATAGGTGGCAGCCATCTCAAGCCAGAGGACGAGAGGACTCTAGCCGCCACGCATATAAAGGATTTATAGTGAAAAACTTTGTTTTTACGGGTTATACTTATTTCCACCCATGGTTTGGAGCGCCTGGATAAAAACCCCACACGCAGCCCACGAGAAGAACTGTCTCTCAAGCTGTGCACGCGTGGGGGAGTCAGAAAACACCCTCCATGCACTGCTTCCGGCAGGCAGCTCTCCACCTTACAAGCGGCCCTCTCGTGAACACAATCTGTGCGCCATCCACAGGCCGCTTGGAGGTCAAGGGGGAAATGTGGACGCTTTTTTTACACGCTTTTATTGAACTCACTCTGTCTGTTGTTGTCGTTGTTGTTTTCGTAGTTGTATCCTCAAATCTCGTAACTCAATTTTAATCCACTTCCCAATGTGGTATCGACTGCAAACTTGGTATATTTATGTCGTACTGATGACAATAGTATATTCTGTCAAAAAAATAAAGTATTTTAAAACATTAATTTTTATATGTTATGTTTCGGCTTGGGTCTAATTGTCCACGCTCAACTGACGTTGGCTGTAAATCACCACGGCCCCTCACGTTGTGGCAAGCTTCGGGGCCACTTCCTGGAGTCGTGGAGTTCTGCCATTACGAGTAGGGTACATTTCATTAAAGTGTGTTTGAAAAAAAGTATTTTTAAATATTACTTATTGAAGAAAATATTCAGTCGGGTCCCTTTGTTTGACACCGCGAGATGACTGGAGGGCCAAAACAATGTTAAATGGATGGGCATTAAAAGTCGTGTCTTTTTAATAGAGCC